ACATTTTATTCATTGCAACAATAATACAGAATACGCTATAATATGATAAATGCATAATAAAAACATTTGTAACAATAAAATTTTATATTGTAATTATGCTTACATGCCTATTAATTATTATTTAAATGAGTACTGCACGGGGTGGGCGGCAGAGGCAGGTGTTGTGGGCCAGGCATGCAGGGAGAGGTGGTGGCAGTGCAGGTCCAGCATTGGATAGACCACCAGCTGGCCTGGCCCACGGAAGGTCAACTGCCCACTGCGCCCCTGCCCGCAGCTGCCCTGCCAGCACCGCTACCCTGTGTAGAGCGGGCCCTGCAGCTCCCAAAGCACCAACTGCGCCAGCTCCGGCCCTGAGAGGCAGCCCACCGCCAACACATCCCACCTGCAGCCACCCCACCAGCAGCACCGCCCACCCTGTGCAGCCCTGTGTAGAGCGGGCTCCGTGGCTCCAACAGCATGGGGAGCAGCCGCCCGCCACCGCCCCTCACACCCCTGCCCGCAGCAGCCCTGCCGCCCCTGCCTCTTGCGCCCGCAGCCATTATTGCCCTAGCAGGGCCGAAGATCAAGAGAAACTTACCATGGTGTCGCTGCTCCAGTCTCCTCCAGGTATCTTCGGGACTAACTAGGAGATGGTGTAGTTGGGTAGCAGGGAGGGGTGCAAAGTTCCTGCCAATTCGCCTTTGCTGCAGACAACTTGCATTTGCCGGCCGGGTGTTTTGGCGTGCTCAGCAGCAATTCCTATTGGCTTTTGAAAGCAGGAGTAGCACAGTTCATGCAAAAGTTGAAAAAAAAAACCATCAAAAAAAGGTGCTGGAACGCCCGTCTGAGCGTTCTGTGAGGGGAAAAAAAGCCCTGCAGATTAGTCTTCAAATATCGAAAAGGAGGACATGAAGGAGGACACTTTTGGAGGGAGGACAGAACTTACAAAAGGAGGACTGTCCTCCCTAAAGGAGAACGGTGGGTCACCTTAGTTCTGGGCGTTCTCTGAGAAAAAAAAGCCCTGGTTATTGTTATAAATCACCAAGGGCAGTATGCTGTGGTGATACATAAAATAAGTAAGTAAAAGTTAAGATGAAACTAATTCGCGAAAAAATGCATTTTCAGGCTGGTCTTAAAAGGGGTGGGTTATCTACCTTTCTAGGCCGGAGAGCCAGAAATCTGAAGGTACCTTAATATGAACCATTTGATCCTCTCCCTATTCTACACCGCTTGAATATTCTTAACATTGTCAATATGGTTTTAGTAAGAAAGTTATGATTTAAAGAGGTTAGTAGTATATGTTGTTAAATCATATTCCCAACATTTACAGTGTATCTATTTATGAAGCATTCTGGCTCTTCCATGCTCAGATTCCTGCAAAAATGTATTCTTGGGAAAGGAAAAGGCCCGTCCCGTCCCAGGTAGAAGGCGGGTGCCAGGAAATGGTCACAATCGGCCTCCGAATTGGCAGCTTGTTCACACAGAGGAAGAAGCAGACAACAGGAGCCCACCTGGCCAAGGGTTAATATGTGGTTAACAACATGAGCTACGTTAATTTGCAAATATATAGAATCGTGGTGTTTTATGTGGCTGTTATCTGCTTTTTTCCATTTCCAGATTATTGCTTTATTACAACAACATTATTGTTTGAATGCCACACAACTGAGCTCAAGCAATTCAGCAAGGCATTTGACAAAGTAGACCATAACCTACTTCTTGGTAAGCTAGAAAAATGTGGGGTAGATAGCATCACCACCAGATGGACTTGTAACTAACAAACCATACTCAACAAGTAGTCCTTAATGGTACTTTTGTTGTTGTTGTTGTTAGTTTCGAAGTCGTGTCCGACCCATCGCGACCCCACGGGCAACGTTCCTCCAGGCCTTCCTGTCCTCTACCATCTTCTGGAGTCCATTTAAGCTCATGCCTACTGCTTCAGTGACTCCACCCAGCCCCCTCATTCTCTGTCGTCCCCTTCTTCTGTTGTCCTTGATCTTTCCCAGCATCAGGCTCTTCTCCAGTGAGTCCTTCCTTCTCATTAGGTGGCCAAAGTACCTGAGTTTCAACTTCAGGATCTGGCCTTCTAAAGAGCAGTCAGGGTTGATCTCCTCTAGGACCGACCGGTTGGATTGCCTTGCAGTCCAAGGGACTCGCAGGAGTCTTCTCCAGCACCATAGTTCAAAGGCCTCCATTCTTTTGCACTCAGCCTTTTTTTATGGTCCAACTTTCACAGCCATACATTGAAAACCATGGCCTGGACTATACGCACTTTTGTTGGCAGGGTGATGTCTCTGCTTTTTAGTATGCTGTCCAGATTTGCCATAGCTTTCCTCCCCAGGAGCAAGCGTCTTTTAATTTCTTGGCTGCAGTCCCCATCTGCGGTGATCTTGGAGCCCAGGAAAATAAAATCTGTCACTACCTCCATTTCTTCCCCATCTATTTGCCAGGAATTGAGAGGGCCGGATGCCATGATTTTGGTTTTCTTAATGTTGAGTTTCAAGCCAACTTTTTCACTCTCCTTCTTCACCCGCATCAAGAGGCTCTTTAGTTCCTCTTCACTTTCTGCCATTAGCGTGGTATCATCTGCATATCTTAGGTTGTTGATATTTCTCCCGGCAATCTTAATTCCAACTTTTGATTCATCTAGCCCTGCCTTTCTCATGATGTGCTCTGCATATAAGTTAAATAGGCAGGGCGACAGAATACAGCCTTGCCGGATTCCTTTCCCAATTTTGAACCAAACAGTGGTTCCATGTCCAGTTCTCACTGTTGCTTCTTGACCGCATATAGGTTTTTCAAGAGACAAATGAGATGGTCTGGTACTCCCATCTCTTTAAGAACTTGCCACAATTTGTTGTGATCCACACAATGAAAGGCTTTAGCGCAGTCAATGAAGCAGAAGTAGATGTTTTTCTGGAACTCCCTAGCTTTCTCCACGATCCAGCATATGTTGGCAATTTGATCTCTAGTTCCTCTGCTTCTTTGAAATCCTGCCTGTACTTCTGGTAGTTCTCGATCCACATACTGCTGGAGTCTAGCTTTGTAGGATTTTAAGCATAACTTTACTTGCATGTGAAATGAGTGCAATGGTGTGACAGTTTGAACAGTCTTTGGCATTGCCTTTCTACATAGAGTGGGGTACCATAAGGTTCCATCTTAGGCCCAGGACTCTTCAATATCTTCATCAATGACTTAGATGAGGGACTTGAAGGGGATCTCATCACATTTGCAGATGACACCAAACTGGCAGGAATAGCCAACATCCCAGAAGGCAAGCTCAGGATCCAAAAAGATCTTGACAGATTTGAACAATGGCCCCTATCCAACAAAATGATATTTAATGTGGAGAAAAGCAAGGTTTTACACCTTGGCAGGAAAAACCAAAAGTACAAGTAGAGATTAGGCAAAACCTGGCTCAAAAACAATAACTGTGAGAGGGACCTTGGAGTCCTAGTGGACAATCACTTAAACATGAGCCAGCAGTGTGCAGCAGCAGCCAAAAAAAGCTAATACAATCCTTGGATGTATGAATAGAGGCATAGAATCAAAATCACGTGAAGTATTAGTACTGCTTTATAAAGCAGTATATCAGGCCACATCTGGAATACTGTATCCAGTTTTGGTCACCATGTTACGAAAAAGATGTTGAAAAAGTGCAGAAAAGAGCAACTAAGATGATTAAAGGCCTGGAGACTAAAACATATGAAGAACAGTTGCAGGATTTGGGTTTGGCCAGTCTAGACAAAAGGACTAGGGAGGACATGATAGCGGTATTCCAGTATTTGCGACGTTGCCACAAAGAAGTGGGGGTCACGTTATTCATCAAAGCACCAGACAGCAGGACAAGAAACAATGGTTGGAAATTGACCAAAGAGAGAAGCAACCCTGGAATTAAGGAGAAACTTCCTGACAGTGAGGACAATTAACCAGTGGAACAGCTTGCCACCAGAAATTCTGGGCGCTCCATTGCTGGAGGTTTTTAAGAAGAGACTGGACAGCCGCTTGTTTGGAATGGTACAGGGTCTCCTGCTTGAGCAGGAGGGCTGGACTAGACCAGGGCTTTTCAACCACTGGTACGGATACCCCCTGTGGTCCATTGGCACCTGGCAGGTGGTACGCAACCATCCTAGAAAAGTGGTAGCGGGGGAGGGGAATGAGCTGAACTGGTGGCAGCATCGCACAAGCCTGAGCGAGAGACGGCTGGAGCTGCAGGGCTGTCAGGGCTCAGCGGAAGCGCCAGGATCAGTGCTGCTTTCCAGCTGATTGGCGCTTCTTCGGGGCTGTCAGGGCTCAGTGGAAGCACCAGGATCAGCGCCAGGCTCCAGCTGGAGCTCAGCGCTGATCCTGGTGCTTCTGCTGAGCCCTGAAGAAGCACCAATCAGCTGGAATGTTGCAACATCTCCAGGGTCTTGTGATTTACATTCAGATCTTGACAACTGATTCATATTTATGACAGTGTCTCAGGGTCATGTGAAGTGACCAAAACCTGCTGCAACCACCCAGCAGACGGAGGGGGGGGGAAGAAACCAAACACCCCCCACCGCCCCCCCCACTGCCAATCCTCAATAGAAATGCTCAAAACAATGGAAACCTCGGAGAGGAGGAAGTGTCTTGCTCGGCTGTGGCTTGGGGGGCACTTTTTTCAGTGCCATCGAACAGTCACTAAGCAAACTGTTGTAAGTCGAGGACTACCTGTACTTCATCACTTTTTTCCTTTTTTTTTGGGTCATGAAGTTTTTGACCCCTGGCTAGGCGACTGGTGGTCCTCGGATGTTGCCATATCCTAAAAGGGCGAAAAGCCCTGGACTAGAAGAACCTCCAAAGTCCTTCCAGCTCTATTCGGATTGATGAAAGGAAAACCGGCCTCCTTCCCAAGCCGCCCGCGGAGACGCCGCGGGGCGCAGAGCCGGGAACACCCGCCTCCACTTCCGCGCGCTTCCAGTGGCCTGGCCGGGGCGGCAACGGCCGGAGTTCCGCCCACTGACGCGCCCCCGGCCCTCTCCGCCCCCGCGTAGCGAGGAGACGCGCCGACGCCGCAGGAGGAGGAGGGCAGGGGGCAGCCGGGCCGGCCGGCGCGTTGCCGCCCGCCGCCGCTTGCCGGAGACCCCAGGTAGGGCGGGGGTCGGAGACGCTCTCGGGCCGGCTGGCCGCGGCTTTGCCGACGGGGCTGCTCCGGCTGTGCGAGGCTGGGTGGGCCGCAGGGGGAGGCGCTGCCGGTCGGAGCTCCGGGACGCTCCGCCACCCCGTCCCCTCTTTCCCCTCCCTTCCAGGCGGCTCGCCGCGCGTTCCCGTCCCCGTCTTGGGGCTCCCCGCCCGGCCCAAGAGAGCGGCGCCGGCCGAGGGCGATGTCGGCCAGGCCCCCGCTGGCCGAGAAGGCGCTGTCCGAGGCTTTCGCCCGCCTGCGCTACCGGGACGCCTCGCTGCTCATCTGGCAGCAGCAGCAGCAGCAGCTGGAGGCCCGCCCGCCGCCCGCCACCTACCTGAGCCGCAGCCGCAGCGCCTGGTACTCGCAGTTCGGCAACCAGGCCGTCCTGGTGCGGGACAGGAACAAGCCGGAGGGCCTCCGCGACGCGGGCCAGTCCCGCTTCTGCGCCCTGATGTGACCCCGCCGCTCGGGGTCTCTGCAGCGCCGGCTTCGCGCTCCGGCTCCCGGACCCAGAGCGGCGTGCAGCATCTCGGAGCCATCTCGACGACTCTTCACGCCTTTGGCCCCTGCTTCAAGTGGCGGGCCGTTCCACCCGCTGACAGCTTGTGGCTCCTGACCTGCCCCTGGCGGTCTTCCGAGGTGGCTGTGCGGCTCCAGGCAGAGGCAGGTTCTGCCGGGGAGTTTCTTTCCCGATGGACCACCAAGGCTAAGGGTGAGCCAAGGGCAGAGGTGCTGGAAGGAAGGAGGGGAGCCCTGTGGGGTAGCAGTCCAGGTCCCTCCCCAGCTTTACAAGCAAAGAGCCCCCTGAAAGGATTCCCAGCCCCCCCCCCTCTTGCATCTGGGCCTTTCCAGGAAATTGGGAGGGGGAGAAAAGGAGGAGGGGCAGAGGCATTCTCTCTAGGCCAGTGGTTCTCAACCTTGACAATTTTAAGGCATGTGGACTTCAACTCCCAGAATTCCACAGCCAGCAATGCTGGCTGTGGAATTCTGGGAGTTGACGTTCACATGCCTTAAAATTGTCAAGGTTGAGAAACACTGCTCTAGGCCCTTCCCCACATCCCTAATGTGCTGGCTGTGGCTGACTGGAGCTGTAGTCCACACAGATTGGGTGAAGCAGAGATGGAAATTTAGCCCCTTTTCTGCAAACTCGGGGGTTGGGGAAGGCTGGACTCCACACAGGAGTTCCCTCTTGGACCACCAGTCGAATCTGGACCCAACCCTGGACCCCAAAGCCGTGCCCTGAAGTTTGTTTTGAACCCAGGGCAAGCTGGGTAATGTTGCTTCTTGGGGTATGTGCAGATTTTGCGCAACTCGGGGGCTCTTCTCTGGCTTCCCCTACTGGGCAGGATGGAGCTATTCCAGAGCGGCCTCCCCAGCTTCCTTCTGGGGACCAGCATGGCAGCGCTCGCTCTGGGCCTGCCTCTTGGCTGCTGGTATGGCTGCTGTGACCCCCCTTGTGCTCCTTGCAGGCCAGGCCAGCTTCTTGGCTGGGGGTGGACAATTGGAGGGTACGGGCAGAGTTCTCTTGCTGAAATCTGGCCTGAAGACTTGGGGCCTGCTCAGGCCAAGGCCTGCCAGGATTCCTCCACGGGTTTCAGTAGCAACATCTCCACATTCTTGGCTTTGGCCACAGCTTGCGCCATTGTCCGATCCGTGGGCTGCTGGTCCAAATCTCAAGCAGGCTTTTGCCTAGCTCAAGACTGCAGGCACACGGCAAGGAGGCCAGCTGGGCATAGAGGCCATGTTCGTACCGACCAGCTGGGGGAAACCTGACTTGCACAGAAAAGCAGACCAAAACCTAGAGCCTTTGGTCCCAATGATGAAGGCAGGTGGCCAAACTCTGCTCCAGGCGACGTGGTCGACAGGGCTGTCCAGGAGCCCCATCCGAGGACTATTTCCACGTTCTGGGCTTTCCAGACGTGTTTCCTTGGCACTGGTGCAGACACAGCGATGATTCTCAGAAACCAGCCTTTGCTCTGCTCTGCGTCTAACTGTACAGCTCAGCATCCGATGGGAGAACCAAGCTGGAATCCCTCCAGTTCTGGGAAGCAGCCGGCCTTCTCTGGCCAACCTCAGAAGCTGCTCTTTGGGCGTATTTGACCTTTGGTAAACAGTGGTCAGTCTCTGCGAGGCCCCAAATGTGATGCCAGTGAGGACCCAGGAGGACTGAATTTTAAAGGTGCAGCGGACAATGTTAAGCACCTTTCCCTTTCAACTGGACTTTGCAGCCAGAGACATGACTTTCAAATTGCATCAGTCAATAAAGAATAACTGCACGCACTTCTGTCCCCAGGCCTGTTACGGTGTCAAGTACAGAAGTGGCATCTGCTCTTAAATGGGTCTTTGTTGCTTTATTTTTTTTTCCAAACTGTTCTACTTTAAAACAAGATACAGAGAAAAAGACGGACGTGGGAGAAGACTAGGAATATACAAATAAAACATGCTTTATCTGGAAGTTACCAATACCTGTAAGTCCAAAGTCTATACAAAAAGAAACCCAAAGAATCCCAAACGATCCCATTCCCCCAAACTGAATCCACGTACAAGGAATAAGCACCAGAACAGGAAACTATCAAAGGTCCATAGCACCTGTTGGTTAAAAAGTCAGATACGTTTAAATTAAAAGGATTCCCAATTTTCTTTCAGAGCTTAGTTTTAAAAACAACACAAACCTACATTTTGTCTGCTGCTCTTCAAAACGCAGGATTCATTTTTAAGTGACCACTGGAGTTAATAAATAAAGTATTTCTATGTACATGAAAAAGATACTCAGTTCCGGGTGTGTCGTGTGCAAAGTGCAGGTCTCCAGGGCAGGCTGGAGAAACAAAATAGCTCCTAAAAAATGGATGATCCTTACAAAAACATTGTTTGCCCACCCTCCCCTTCCCCAAAGCATATTCTCCCACCGTACCTTGAGGTAAACGTTTTGATTATTTGGAAACCTGCACTCGCACAACACACGTGTTCTCCTGGCAAGGACGGAGCCCGGCCCGCAGTTCAGCCAGGGCACCACCTCGGACTGCCTGCTGTCGGGGGCGCCTTGCCCTGGATCTGGCAGCCCCTGCTGCTTGGAGGGGGACAGAGCGAGGGACCCCCCGCCCTTCCAATGCCAGGATGAGAACGGACGCCCAGGCTGCGGGGAGATCCCGAGCAATGGGGCTCCGCAGGCTCCCTCTGCCCAATGGCCAAGGAGCCAGGCCGCACGGCCCTCCTGCCCCCCAGAGGGTGGTGGGCGATGCCGTCCTGCACAGGCAGACCCAAGGCTGGGCAACCGCTTGCTGGGCCCTGGTCGCGTCCACTGCCCTCAACAGGGCAGCCACCTCTGACGAGTTTTTCACAACCAGAGCATGAATCTATATATTGATTAAAAAAGGTAAAAGAAATATCTAAAAAGGTACGCTTTAAAAAACAATCCACAGTACATGAGCTTTTTCCCTCTTATCTATAAAAAAAGATCAGGATCTTCATCCCAGTGGAGAAGGGGAGGTGGCTGCCTGGTGGGGGGCGGGGGGAGTCAGCAGACCAGCAGATTAGAACATGGCCGACCGGCCGGCCTTGCCGCACTGGCCTCCTCCCACTGCAGTACCGTTCACTGAGGTTGCTCCCCCCTCCAAAATCCCCCCCCCCATCGCCTTCCAGGAGAATCGGCTCTCTGGCCTGGCCAAAGGAGCCTGCCAGAAAGGGCAGAATCGCTCCCCCTCCGGGCTTCGGCCATGGTGCAGGCGGGGGGGGGGGGGTAATAGAGTCTCTGTCGAGTTCTTCCTTCCTTCAGCATTTCGGGCTAAAAAAGGGTTTAGAGACTTTAAGTGATGCAAACTGTTTGTCACCAAGTCTAGTCGGGCGTTTGACCTAATAAAAGCAGGAGGAGGAAACTCTTCCGAGGAGGGATCGTTCTGTAACATGGAGTCCTTTAAAATGGCTGCCAAAGAGTGGAAAACGCAGACTTGGTCACGACGGAAGAGAGGAACCGTTAGAAAAATAAAACGGGGGGACGGAGATTCCAGTCCGGACGGGCCAAGAGTCCCCCTGGTCATTCTGAGTCGCTGCTGTCGGAACTGGAGCCGCTGGAGCTGCTGCTCCCCGACTCGGAGCTGCTGCTGCTGCTGAGGTGAGACGGGCCACCGGATGGCGCCGAGGAGCCGGATTTTTCTAGCAAGCAGGAAAAAAAGGAGCAGAGGTGAGCGGTCAGCTGAGCCCCAGCTGCTTGCCCCCCCCCCCCCCGGGCTTTGGCCTGCTCCCCTCCCAGGTCTCAGGCCTGAGATACCTGTCCGTCTGTCCCTGGGGAGGGGGCTTCCCTGCTTCAGCTCAAAGCCCCTACAGAAAGCAGCCTGGGAGTCTGGCCTTGGGGAGGGGGGGGGGTCCTGGTTGATGCTTGAAAAAGCTGGCTCTGCTCAGGAGACCACCAAGAGATCCCAGGGCTGGGAAACCTAAGAGTTGCTGTTGCAAGTCATAGCCCAACTTTGAGGCAGCTTCATGTTTTAACACATTTTTGAAACTCAAGTCTTCTCTCCCACCGTTCCCCCCCCCCCAGCAGATTAATCAGTTATATCCAAGTGGCAGCTCAGACCAGCCCTGCCAATGGCTAACACAATGTGCTAGGATTGGGGGCGGGGTGTTTCTCCACAATGTAGCTTATAGGTCCACCAAGACGCTGAGAAACAGTGAAACAGCCAGGATGTGGCTGCCACGTGAGACTCAGGGAAGAGGGTGGAGGAGACGGGGATGTGAGACTGGGGGGAATCGGGAGATGAACCAGGAAGGTGGCCAACTCTTTCCCACTGGAGACAGGTGGAGGAGAGGGACCGGAGTTTGCCCCAAAACATCAGAAGAACGCAGCCCCCCCCCCGCAGCCCTTCAGAATCCCTGCATCTTTGCCCCCGCTCTGCTGGCCCAGAGCTTCTCCCTGGAGACACCTCGGGTGGGACCCTCTGTCTCCCCCCCCTTTGATGTGAAAGGCTGGGTGCCTCTGCTGTCCGCAGTGTTGGCCTGCTCGCAGCTTTAGCAGGGCCCTCCTTGACCTCTCTGCCCCATGCCCAGGGAGACATCCTGGCGCTCCTGCTGCCACCCCCCAGGCCCTGCGGCTCTTTGGGGAACCACCGGGCAGTCAGTACTGCCTAGCAGGGCTGGCCATGGCAAGGCTGCTTCGGCCTCTTTGGAGACCCCGAGATGCCAGGCAGGTCGAGTCAAGGAACTCGACCTGCCTGGACCTCCAGCTGGACCACTCGTCCCTCCCCAGAGGTTGGGTTCCATAGGTATGCCCTATTTTGATAGCAAGATGGAGGAAATGGAAGTCTAACAATATAAACCCTCTAGCGGGGGGTTAGAGCTGCCTGGGGCCCTTCTGCCTCTTGCGGGAGCCGGCTGGAAAGCCCTGCTCCAGAGCGCCCAGCACTGGCCTTCCCGGGGAGGGGCCTGGGGCCCAGAGCCTTGCCTGCCCTGGCGCTGGAGCAGAGATGAAGGGTGGAGGCGGCCCCCGCTCACCTTTCTTGGCTGGCTTCTTGTTGTTGCTCAGCTGCCCGCTCACGTCCTGCAGGCGCTTCTCCAGCTCCTTCTTCTTCTCCTGAGCCATCTCCTCCTTGGACTTGGCCGCCTGCTTCTTCCCACTCGCGGCTGTGGGGAGGAAAGCGGGAGGGCTCAGACGGGAGGAGAGCCCGGATCCCAATCTCCCGGGGAGGCAAGAACCGGGATGGCCCTGCATCGGAGGGAAGGCTCACCCGCTACAGGCGCTGCATGAGGCGCTGGGCTGAAGGCGATTCCGGACCGTGGTCCAGACGGCCAGGGCTCAGCTGCCCCCCGGGACAAGGCCAGGGCCACGAGGGAGACGGGAGGCCTCCGAAGGGGGGGGGCATACCACAAAGGGTGGGGGACCAGCTCAGGGCAGGGACCATTCGCCAGAAGCCCCTCAGGCTCCCCAGGCCTTCCCGGGGTCTTTCAGAGGCCCAGCCCGAGCGGCCAGCAGGAGATCAGGAGGGGCTGGAATCCGACCCCCCCCCTCCTTCCACGGGAGTTAATGGGGAGGGCCACCCCCTCGACAAAAGAATACAAATTACAGAACCCCCCTCTCCCCATGGAACCCATCCAGCAAAAAGGGAAGCCCCCTTCCCTCAGGATCGGCCCCTCCTGGAAAGAAATTTCCCCAACATCCGGGCGGCAGCTGCTCTCCTCCTGCCACGGAGAGGGTCCTTCCTTCTTCTCAAGCGGGTCCTCACCCCCCCGGGCTTCAGGGCCACAGGGTCTGTTGATGTGTGGAGAAAGGGAACGCTCAAGAAGCCCAAGCTGAATCACAGAATGTGTTGAACAAACTCAGACTTGATAGTTGGTTCTTGGGATGAGATATCCAAGTGGGCCCTGACAACGAGCATGAGAGCAGAACAGTGATATATGAAGGAAATGAAGTGTGTACGACAATCTACATTCCTACTGATTGTCGAACACACTTTACTTCCTTCCCACGCTTAGCCAGCAGAGAGGCAGGCACAGCACCAGGGGTCTCCTTCACTGGTGCTAACCGGCTGGCTGATAACTGACCAGGAATGCTTGGGGTCATTTCAGCCTTATGTGTGGACGTCTGTGTGCAGATGTCCAGCGCTCTGCTGCCCTCTTCTTTCTCCTTTTGGGTGCCCCAGCAGCCTCTTCTTCTGGCCCTTGCCCCAAACCTCTGAACGCGTGCCTCGTCCAAGAAGGCCCTGCCGTCACTTTGCTGTGGCCGAGGAAATGCCCTCGTTGCCGAAACCGTCTCCTAGGGTGAGAAGAGGACCGGCAAGGCCCTGGATCCTCTCTTCAGAAGTCCAGCTGTGCCTCCACTCCCCAAGGGGCACCTGGCATGGTTGAAGGAGGTGTGCAGAGAGAGGAAAAAGCGGCAAGTGCTTGTCTGACCACTTGAGCTCCAGGATGTCTCTGCCATGTTGGCGTTCTCTGCAACTCCAGCGTCCTTAAGCAGGGTACCTGCTTGCTCCAGGTGCCAGCACTGGCAGGGCCCAGGATTGGGGGAGAGGACTTCCAGACACGCTCACTTGGACACCCGTTGAAGGACCATTTCAAGCCCTGGTTCAGGGACCCAAGGCTCAGCTCCCCATTTCCAGGAGGCCACCACAGGACCCTTGGGACACCCCTGAACACTCAGGCTCGACGGCAAATCAAAGGGGAGAGCAGCTTTTGGAACGGGCCACCCAGGTAGTTAAATCTCAGAAGGGTCAACAGGATGGATGGTCCTCTCTCTTGAATTTAAGAAAGCCAGCAATCACTGGATTTGGGGGTAACCTAGACAGACACTGAGATCTTGATGACTGCATGCCCCAGTTGACCTTTTGGAGACCCTGAATGCTATCCAAGCCCCACCAGCGGTAGAAATGGGTAGCACTCTCTGGGAACTCGTGTGTGTAAATCTCTCTCTCAACTTAAGAGAGCAAGTACATGAGGTGGAGGTTCATTCTCCAAGCTTGTGGGTTCGTTTCCAAATGTCTCGTTACCAGGATAGGCAAATTCTTGAGCCAGCAGATGCCCGGCCGACGGATGTGTCTGTGGACTTCTAAGTCTGCCAGGACAAAGTGCAAGAGGGCCATGATGCCAGCCTCAGGATTTGTTGATGTGAAGCACCCATGGATTCAGAATGGTGGAGATGCCGCCTGTCTTCCGTTGGTGGACTTCAGCTTGGGCCTTCCTTCCAGGTCCACCTCTTCTCCTTGATTGGATCAGTAGGGTGGACACCGCCAGGAGCACTGCTTTCCCCTCTTCCCCCGTCTGCTTTAATCCAAATAGTTTCAACAGCTTCACCACGCTGGATTTCTGAGGAGGGCATATTTTGATCACCCCGTGGGACTTCCTCCCCTTCTTTCTCTGCTGGGCCTATTAAACAAATGTGTCCTTCAGCTGCTACAGCCAAATTCCTTTATTATTTATGGAGAGTATCATTTACTCAGAGTATTCCTCTGCTCACTCCATTAAGTGCTCGTCTGTTAAACAATTGCATTTTCCTTCTGATACTATGAATTCACGCTCTCTCTCCCTAATCTCGTCTTTACAGGAAGTCCTCGAATTACAACCATTTGTTTAGTGACTGTTCTAAGTTACAACGGCATTGAAAAAAGAGAATTGTGACTGCTTTTCAGACTTATGACCGTTGCAGCATCCCCATGGATCACATGAACAAAATTTGGGCACTTGCCAACTGGTTCCTATTTATGACGGGTGCAGCGTCCCGGGGTCACATGCTCTTCTTTGGAGACCTTCTGGCAAGCCAAGTCAATGGGGAGCCAGATTCACTTAATGACCACAAGATTCACTTAACGGATGCAGTTATTTGTTTAACAACAGTGGCAAAAAAGGTCATAAAATGGGGCAAAACTCAACAACTGTCTTCCTTAGCAACAGAAATGTCGGGCTCAATTGTGGTCGTGAGTCGAGGACTGACGGTATTTATTTGCTCCTTTGCGGACTTGTGTCCCGCCTTCCGGAGCTCAAGGCAGGGCCGAGTGCTCCCTCAGCAGCAGCCTGTGAGGTGAGGCGGAGGGAGGCGCGGCGATTGGGCCAAAGGGTCCCAGGGAGATGGTGGGGCTGAGGTGGGCCTGGGTCTCCTCAGGGCCTCCCCCTCTGCACCGACAGGCGAGGGGGGGTCTCCCAGGAGCCCACGCAGCTCCTGAGCTTCCACTGAGGGGCCCCAGAAACCTGATTATACCAACCCTGCCATCTTCTGCTGGACAAGACAGGCTCTCCTTGGAGGTTCTCACGTCAGGGTCTCCGTCCCCCAGTCCGACGGGCCTGCTTTAGTCCTTGCCAGATACAGCTGTCCTTGGGCCGGCAGTCTATAATCCATGGGGGAGGGGTGTGTGTCCCAGAATAGCCAATCAATCATTCGCCCCACGGTCACCTTTTCTCTTCCAAGTCCTCTTTCATGGTTGAAGGAAAAGGGTGGGCCAGAATCCCACTGGGGCCCCAGGCTCTTAGCTGCTTCCTAGATCTTCAGGGTGCAGCCGCTGCAGCTGGTCTCACCAAATCCACCTGCTCCAGCAGGAAGCAATGATGGTCAGGGCACTGCTAAGGCCTGAGGGATGTCCGGCCCCATCCCTGGTCCCAGCTTCGGCCTGACCGGCTTTGCTGCTTTGCAGGGGGAGAGGCTGCGTGCCTCTCTCTTCAGGATCTCTTCAGGATCCCATCCCTCTGCCCTCTTTTTTCCCCCTTTTCCAGCGGGGCTGCCTCCTGTGGCAAACTGGAAGCTGCTGCTCCTGAGCTCTGGCGGTGCAGAATCTCTTTTCTGCCTCCTGCGCTGGGCTCGTCTGCTTAATTTTCCTGATGGAGAAAGATTGGCTTCCTCTGAAGTTCCTGCTGTAGCACTTTCCTTCTTTAAGTCTGAAATCTCTCCCCTTCCTTAGCAGGCCAATTCCCTACTCTGGCCCTCTGCGCTCCTGGGCTTCTTTCCCAAGCAACGCCCTAACCCTGGCCCTTGCTGCAAAGATAGGAACACAAGCCCTGCACAAGCATTGCGGCCACCTGCTTATCCATCTTCACTCTCCAAGAGAAATAGCTGCACTTCCTCTGGCTAACCTTTCAGGCTCTCTGTACGGTCCCACCACAGGGAATCTGTCTTTAAGGAGCCCTGCTGAACTCTCTGGGCCAAGGCCGGGGCTCTCCTGCTCTTCTTAAGGACAACCTTCAGAAAAAGATTAAGGCTCAGTTGCATCTAGGAAACTGGCATTCACCCATCATTTAACCATGGGAGCAACTGACTATCATGGTATGAGGGAATGACCGGGGTGGGGGGGGGGAAGGAGAGTGACTAGGGAAGAATCAGATAAGGAGGGGGAGCCCACAGCTGCACAGTGGGCAGAGAAGGAAGTTTAGAAAGGATCCTCCCTAAAGTATCAGGATGTAAAAGGAGACAGCAGGTGACTTGTACCTTCAGACTTCCAAGGTTCTGTTAATGCAGCCTTAGAATAAAGCAGAATTAGCTCATGTTTCATGCTCTATCTGAGAAGGCTGGAACAACACACAACACGGAAAGCAAATCAGAACGGTGAGGGCTCTGGGGCAGCTGCCAGTCAGAAATCAGAAAGACCTTCTCTTCTTCCTGCACGTTGCCTTCTTCTCAAGAGCCTTCCCATTAGCGGGGAAGCAGAAGCCCACTACTCACCACCGGAAGGAGGCACAACAAGGAAGAGGGAAATGAAACCCACCAGGCGGTTAAAAGTAAACCATCCCCCAGCACCACCCGCTCTCACAAAGCACTCTCCCAGCTGGGCCGGTGGGGGGGGGGACCGTGACCCCGCAGCAGACAGGAAACCCTGGCAGGGTTTGGGCTGCCTGGGGCTGGTGGTGGAGACAGAAGAGTCGCCTGAACACGGAGACCAGCGGAGAGGCAAAGAGAACAGCCTATTCTCAGAGCAGGTGTGTTTCCCTGCTCTGGGTGTGTATGGGGGGGGGGGGAGCTCCCCCAAAGTAGCAGCCTGGGCAGTGGGGCTCTTGCTGTGATTTTCCCAGCTCGTTTGAACTCAGCATTTCTTTTGCTGGCCTCTCTCCCACACCAGAATTGCTGCCGATGGACAGAGAGGCCCTTATGAATCGTAAATAGATGAACTGTTTCACGGCTAGGAAAAATATAATTCTGATTTTCCCCCTTGTCCAACTGAAATGGCCGCAGAACCCCCGAGGCTTCAGGAGCCTCGGGAATGTAAGCCTATAGACCAGTGGTTCTCAACCTTCCTAATGCCGCGACCCCATAATACAGTTCCCCATGTTGTGGTGACCCCCAACCCCTTATACATCACCGGGTGCCAGGGCTGTGTCCAAAGAAAAGGGGGAAAAATGGCAAACAGTCTTGTTTGGCGACCCCCGTGAAATGGTCGTTCAACCCCAAATGGGGTCCCGACCCACAGGTTGAGAACCATTGCTTAAGAGGAAGCCGGGAAAGACCCCCCCCCCATTTCTACGGCGCGAGGAATCCCACTTACAAAATGGCTTCCGCTGTTTTTTCTGCAAGCAAGACTTGACGTATCTCTCGAGTTCCCGCAGGGTGGTGGGCTTCAAGGTTTCAAAATCGATCTCGATCTCGTCGGGATTGGAGTCCCTGAGGGAGGGCTCTCGCGACTGGATGATGTGCACCACCCGGCCCAGCTTCTCCCCCGGCAGGCGGTTGATGTCCAGGCTGAGCTGGCGCTTCTCGTCGTAAGTCATGGGGAGGCCTTCTTCCTCCTCCTCCGAGTCGTAGGTGGCTGAGGCCTGCTTCCCGGCCTTCTTCGGCTGCCTGTGGACAGGAGGGGAGCGGTCAAGGCCTGCAGCTCAGAGCCCCCCCCCCCAGCAAGGCCCCTTTAGAACCTCTCCCCAGCCTGGCAGCCTGAGAGAGAGAGAGGGGGGGGGCTCCCACAGACCCTTCTTGCATTCTTCATCCTGCTGGCCCCCGGGCAGCCTTGCCAGAAATGCCCCCGTCCTTTTGGCACCCCTTCTCCAAGGTCACTTGCCACTTTGTGTTGGCCAGCTGCAGAACTTCTTTGGGTGGTCCTGGGTCCTCCTCCCTTGCCCGCCTGCCCCACCCGGCCCCAGCCCCGTCCCGGAGCGCCTACCTGTTCACGGGAAGTGTGCTGTTGGCCTTCTTGGCAGGGGCTTTCTTCTGCTGGGGGGCTTTCGCTGGTGGGGCCGTCTTGGCTTTCTTCTCCTCCTCGACTTTTGCCTTGTGCTTCTCTTTCTCCTTCTCCTTCTTTTTCTTCTCTTTTTCTTTCTTCTCCTTCTTCTTCTTTGGCTTGTTCACCGGTGCTTGCGAGAGGGCAGCCAGCTGCTCGTGGACGGCCTTGAGCTGAGAGGGAAGGCGAAGGAGAGAAGCTCAGTCGATTAAAGACAACCTTGGCCCCGCTCAACCCCGGCCAAGTCCGCGCCCGGCAAGAGGATGGGGAGGGCGGCCGCCGTTCCCATCCCCCTCCCCCCCCCCCCCCGCTGCTCTTGGCCTCAGGCAGGCACCTTCATGGGACCAGCAGCTCCCAGCCTTTCAGGCTGCCAGGCCCGGAGCCTCACCCCAGGCCCAGCCCAGGCTGCAAGGGACTGGCACAAGCCGCTCCTTAGCGGCCTGCATGCGTAAGGCTTTCCCGCTGGGCCACAGCGCGGCTTACTTGCTGGAGCATCGCATGGGAGGTGAACATTGCAACGGCGCATTTTTTTAACCCGGCATGGACTAACTGTGAGCCCAGAGGCAAGTGGAGAAATTTGTTTCCTTTCATTTAATTTCAAGTGGTTATTGATAGTTTGTATATTGATTTTAACTTCTTTTGCTGGATTTGCTATTTTTTAACTTCCGTGAGATGCCCAGAGATGGGCAGTTGTACACATCAAATCATAAATAAATAAATTTAGGCAAATTTAAATCCAATCTCGCTGAAAAGAATCCTCTTCCCCCGAGGATCCAAGGATGGTCCCCTTCGGCCACGGCTCGCTCGGGTTGCCTGCAGCACACGGAGGCAGCCCCCTTCCCCCTGCGGCAGAGGGAGGGGCAGGGCTCAGGGGGGCCTCCCCAGGAGACGCCCACTCGGCAGCTGGCGGCAGCTGGCGGGGAGGAGGCGAGCAGCAGCCCAGGGCAGCCTCTGCTCACTCGAACCTCTTTCTTCTTCACCCAGAGAGGAAGAGGCAAGGCGGGGCGTGTGTGTGTGTGTGTGTGTGTGTGTGTGTGTGTGTGTGTGTGTGTGTGACAGGGAGAGTCTGGGGGGATGGATCTGGTCTCCCGAGAGTGGGTCTTGTCCACCGATCCCACCTCCAAAGACCGGCTTGTGCAGAGGATCGAGCGTGGGGGTGCCAACCTTCTCTTTCGGCTCATAAAGGGTCGCAGGAGCTGTATGGTGCCTCAGGCCAGTGGAACTGGTGACAGCCACAGTCAAGGCTTCTTTTATTAAAGGACCCAGATTCAAATCCTCACTCAGCACTGATACTCACCAGCTTTGGCAAGCTGCCCCCTTGGTCTACCTGCCCGGGCTACGTGCAGAGGCCACGGTGCTCGTGAATCCCCTGGGAGAAGAACAGGCCCTCCTGGCTCCCTTTCCCCCAGGGGTCCCCCAGCAACAGCCCCTCAGCGCTGCCCCCTCAAGCCTCCAATGAAACCCCAGTCTAAAACCTGGCATCCCTTTGAGAGCCAATATTCCTTTGCTTTGGTTTTAATTCAGCCCAACTCTAAAATCTGGATGGAACAGAAACTGAAAAATAAAGCATCTGCTGCACACTGTATATGAATGTTCAAAGAAAGACAAGGCAATTCTGAGGCACCGGGGAGAGAAGGGTCACTACGTTTATCCCCCATATTCATGAGGACTAGGCACTTGTTCACTGAAAACTAAAGCAAATTCCCAGAAAATCTGGTGGCAACCCCAGGCATCCTCAAGGAGCGAAAGCAGCGTTCACCCACAAGGGGTCACGCGACTGGCAGGCCCGATCCTAGCCACCCCCGGAGGAAGGCTGCAACTGGGAAGGGTCTGCCGTCGTGAGCCCCTCCCAAAAGGCGCAGGGCAGACGCTTGGGACGGAGCTCTCCTGCGGGCCAAGAAAAAGCCCTACCTGCCCGGAGCAGCCCACTCCCCTTCTCTGCCCACGGGGGGCTTTCGCAGTCGGTCAGCTTTTGCAGACCCCACACCCGGCCTATCCCGTGGGGGCACTTTCCCCCTCGCCCTTTGGGGGGGACCCGGGAGGGATTCTGTGAGGAGCAGCTGGTGGGGCAGGAAGAGAATCAGCTCCCCCCAAGTCCAGGCACGGGACAGGAACGGGGCTGACCCCCGCCTGCCTTTTATCTACCCACCAAGCCTTCCTGGGCCAGCACCACCAAAGCACCGACTGACTGCTGGGATGAAGCATTTCTGAAAGGCCTTATGAATTTTATGTATCTGCGCACAATACAGAAGGAAAAGCACTTTATAAAAGGGAAAAAAAGGAAAAAATAAACAAATACATTCCATCCATTCCAGTCTCGGGAGTCAATGACCTTGTAGCACTGCCTCAATGATCGGGAACAGTCCTGTGTGAACAAGAAGACAGGCAGGGAAGCAAATCGGGTGTCCACACCGCACCCCGAGTCAGGGGGGAGGGGGGTCCATGGAACCACACTTTGGTTGGGGAAGCCTGGGACACTTTGAGTCTTTGGTTTCAAGTGCCAAGTTTCTAGTCCTCACTGCTGTGACAAATGTACGAAAAGGGAGGGCAGTTGCTTTTCTACGACCGGTCACAGAGGAGGCACGGGAGTTATTTCACACAACCACCAAGGCGCCAGGAGGATCTCGGGGAGGTGTTGTGGCCACGTTTGCATTTCCTCTGCTCGGCATAGAGCGGCCCTGCCTTTTCCGACCGTCTCAATGTCCTCCTTAGCTACGGGAGGCTTTATAAAGAAAGCGGGACCGGCTGATCAGAAGGAGCGTCTCTTCAGGGCCCCGGCTGAGGGTCCCCGCACCGCCAGCGGCCTCCAGGGCCAGGCGCGGCGGCCCCTTCGCGAGCGGCCGAGCCCCCACCTGCTCCAACGGCGGAGGCCACCCACCTGCTCCTGCAGCTCTGCCAGCCGCGTGGCCCGCTCCTCTTCCGAGTCCGAGCTGTCCGAGTCCGAGGAGGTCCCCTCACTGCTGTGGCTGCTCTCCGTGCTTTTGCTGACCACGGGGGCCGTGGGCAGAGGGGGCGGCGGGGGGTCAGCAGGCTCGTCCGGCATCTTGGCAAATCGCATCTCAAAGACGTCCTGCGGGAACAGCCACGTTTGGAGAGGAGGGCAAAGGTGCCCCCAGAGCAGGCAGCTGCCCCAAAAGAGGCAACCTCCCCCCCCAGAACTGACTGGAGAAGGACGCCAAAGGCCGCCCGGGGCTCCTCTTCGGACGCTGGGACCCCCCCCCCCTGGAACCGCCATCTAGCCTTGGAAATGAGAGATTGGCAGGAACCTCTCGGAGATGCAGCCCCAACACAGCTGCGGCAGGCGCCAAGTTTGGGCCAGGTGCCCGACGCCTCTCCAGAAACGTCGTGAGAGGCCCCGGACGTCCTTCACTATCGAGACAAACCCCTTCCCTTGACTCCAGTGTGGTGAAGGAGGCAGGGGGCGGAGGAAGGCCCCCGACCCAGATTAAAGGTAACTTCCTTGAACAGTAAAGGCAGCTCTGATCCGATGTACAAGCAGAACAAATATGGCGGCGTAAATTATAAGCCATCTGTATGCAAATGTGCACAACAGCACATGGATATCCAACGTTGCATAAAACATAACATGCTATTTACAGATTTCACTGCGAGGGGAACTTTTTGGAGATTTGAAACTGCAGAATCCACACATTCTTTGGATAACAGGGTCAGGCCGAGGGTCCAGAGTGGGAGACCCCAGAGGCACACTTTCTCCAGGCACATGGCCATGGAGGAGGAAGCAACGGGGCTGAGTTGAAATCAAGAGCAAAGGGGACAACCCTGCGATTAAAACTGTTTACGCTCAAGACCAGCCCTGGTCATTATTGGCTCCAGGGGGGAGGAAAAGAGCCCGTTAGTCTCCACTGTGAGCATTGCCCGTCAGACACTGTGAATATTTTGTGATGGAGGCTGCAAGGAGCAAGAGGCAGCCGTAGCTGGAAGGGGGCCCCACGGGAGGTCTAGGGGCCAAAGACCCGTCCCCGGAGCTTGATCCAGCAGGGACAACTCTTAAGGCAGCGTCTTCAGGAGGAGAAAAATGGAGACTTAAACCCTGCTGGGTCAGGCAAGGAAGTGGCCTGCTGCATCTCTGCCGGAGTCTGGCCTCTGGACCTGCAAACCGAGGCAGAACTGACCAAACCGAGGCAGAACTGACCAAATCAGACCACAAGCCCTTCATTGACACCACAGACCCACTGCTGGCGACGGAGGCTGCTCTGCTTCACTCTAGCCTCCCCCTCTTTTTTTCTTCCTGCCAGGAAGCCCCCTTACCTGCAGCTTCCTTGCCATCGCCACCACCTCATGGTCAGGCGGATTGTACTTGTAACAATTGGAGAACATTAACCGAATGTCCGCCGCAAAACCTTGGGCGTCCTGATATTCCCGACCGTCCATTTTTTTCTGCAGGGGAACACAGAAAGGGGGCAGGATGAGATGGGGAGGGGCGAGAGACGAGGAGGGAAATGCCCCTCGGGCGAGACAGAGGACCCAGGCCACTTGAGGGCTGACTTCCAAGGAAAGCAGCGGGCAGGAAAACGCCCTGGAAGCCACGCTGGCCACCTATCCTGAAAGCCCCTTGAGGTGTCAGAGGGAGACAGGGAGGCGTGGGCAAAGCCTGAGCAATCAATCCCGCGAGGCATCAATTGCTGGGACGTGCAGAGCGCAGAAAGCCACAGCCTGGCTGGTCTTCCTCTGAGAGAGGTCTGGAGCAGACCTTCAAGGCAGGCTGAGGGCACCAGTCAGAGCCCGGAATCTGCTGCTGCAGCCCCAGACCTCCAGCCCAGAACTCAAGACTGGCAACGGAGGCTGGCTCGGGCCCCTGGGCGTTTCCCACAGGGACTCCAAGGCAGCCTTGCGTGCGTGTGGACGTGTGCTTGGCAACCAGACCCTCCCTCGCCACCCACGGAGCCCACGGAGGGCAGGGCATTGCAGAAGCAACACGGGGAGGCCTTTGGGAGAAGAGCCAGGAAGGCTCAACTCTGCCACCTACGCCCTGGTCCTCTACCGGATGGATTACTGTAACACGCCCTAGGTGGGGCTGCCCTTGAAAAGCATCCGGAATAGAGAGAGTGCAAAACAGGCCGATGAGGGCAGTTACGTGCACCCCAAGATCAGCACATGCTGCACCTCTGTCCTGCCAACTGCACCGATTGCCAGTTTGCTTCCGGATTCAATGCAAGGGGCTGGGAATGGCCTCTAAGGCCCTGCGTGTCCTGGGCCAGGTTATCCGAGGGACATCTCCCCATCCCATCAGCCCAAGGCGTTCCATCTGGCGGGGCCCCGGAGGAGAGCCTTTTCTGTCACAAGACTGACCCTCTGGAAGGACTTTCCCTGAAGTGAGGGTGGCCCAGCCTTATTGGCCTTTGGGAGGGGTCTGAAAACTTGGCTGGGCCGTTCAGGGTCGGGATCTTGAGGACGTCGTCTACAAGCTGTTGCTGCTGCTGCAGCTCTCCCTCGCTGTGATTTTTGGCTTAAATCGTTTTCCACTTGACTTATACAAGTTTATTTTTTGTTGTTTCCATTTGTAAGCTGCCCAGAGTCATGTGAGTGAGTTGGGCAGCTATATCAAACCAATGAATAAAGCCACAGCGGACAGCCCAACCTGGGCTTTTCTTCCCAAGCTGCCAGGGCAGGGCGGCCCCACAGCCCCGCTGCCCTGGCCCTCATCCTGGGGGGGGGGGGGCAAGGGCAGCACTGGTCTCAGGCCTGGCAGGCCAAAGTGTGGCACCTTCCCTCTTCTTGACCTTTGCCCAGCCACTTCGACCTCCTCCAGGGCTCAGGGGTCTCCCCAGGCAGTGGCCAGCAGAGGGGCAGAGCGGAGGCGGGTTGGCAGCGGGTGCAGCATCCTGGCAGAGGGACTCTGGCCAGATGGGCCAATGCAACTTGCTGGGCTCACACATGGCTTCTGGTTTTTACCTTGGTGATCTGGAATTGGAGCTGGCTTAACGATTGCACGATTTACTTAACGACCACAGCAAACTGGCCTCCTTAAAGACTGCCTCGCTTGGTGACAGAATTTCTAGTCCCAGCTGTGATCATAAGTCGAGGACCGCCTGCATCCGGGCAGGGACGAGAGGCAGGAAGGGGGAGCCCGGCTGGCCCAGAGCCCACCTGCAGGTCAGGCGGGGGGGGGGGGAGGCAGGCCAGCTCTTCCCCGGCTGCCTCCCGGGGTCTGCCGGGCAGGGCTGGGGGCCTGGCGGGGGCCCCGGGGGCAAAGGCGACCTGCCTTGACGGTGCTGAGGTCCATGGGGTGCTTGATGATGTCGTGGTAGTCGTGCAGCTCCAGGGCCTCGGCGTCCACCGGCTTGTAGAAGGGCCAGGCGTAGGCCGCGTGCTTCTTGGACAGCATCTCCCTCAGGATGCTGTCGCAGTACTTGAGGTGCTCGGAGAGCTTGCCCTTCTTGCCCGCGTGCTGGGGCACCTCCCCGTCTTCCAGGTCCTTCTTGGGCGGTTTGATGGGCCGGCCACCGCTCTCCCGCCGGGCCACCACTTTGGCCTGCTTCGAGTCCAACAGCTGTGGGGGGGATTCGCTCCGGCTGGCTGTGATGGCCGACGTGGTGGGCGTGGTGGTATCCGCTTTCCGCTTCACCCCCTTTTTCTGAAATCCAAGCACAGCTCATGAGGAGGAGAGGGCGGGTGGGCAGGAGGTCCCCAGGAAGCTGGGCCAGGAGGAACTTAGGGGGGCCCAGAGCAATGGCCATGGTGGCCACTCTACGGCCTGAGACCAACCTCCGCTGAATGAACAAGGAAGGGGTAGCGGGAGCAGCCCCCCATTCCCCCCTGCCCTGGAGGAGAAGCGCCTGCCTCCGCAGAGCGGGGAGGCACCAATTACCTTGACGATGGGTGGAGTGGGGGGAACGACCGCCATGATTGGGGTGGCAGGAGGCGGGGGAGGCGGGGGCACAGGCGTCGCAGGAGGGGCCGTGATGGGGGTGATGTTCGCGGTGATGGTTGGCACAGGCGTGACGGCAATTACAGGCGTCTGAGATACCGACGGAGGGATGCTCTGGAAGGGCGCTGGGGGGGATGCAGAGGAGACGGCTGTGGCTGCTGGGTGCTGGGCCCCTGCCAGGAGGAAAGCAAAGACATCTGAGAGGAAGGCCAGGCAGAATTTATGGCATGGGAATCCTCTGTAAAATTTTATTATATTGCATACGCTTAAAAAGTTCAAAACAGCGAAGAACACAAGCACAACTACAAAAAGAATGAAATTAAAATGTAAAAACGCCATGAAGAATTCAATGACCCATCAGCTGATGCCGAAGCTAGTAAGTTTAGATTCGAAAATGCAGCCCCCAAAATTGGGTTTGGCTTATCTGCAAATGGGCTTCTCTTAGAATATATAAGTGATACTCTTTTAAAAATAACCGCACATACTTATGGATAAGCTGAATCAAAATGCCATAAGAAATGTGCCATCCCATGGATACGCCCATTGAGAAGATTTAAAACCGAATCTATTCCTGGAAAACAATATTTACTGATACAAATTATGAAAACAATTGAAGTCCTTCAGAATATATTGAAAACAACACATTTCTAGGATCAGTTTATCTGAAGGTAGCACATTTGTTACGGTATTTTGGTTAAAAATTTGAGTGTCAGTTCATCTGCGAGTAGAGCCACGGTGGCCCAGTGGCGGTTAGAATGCCGCACTGCAGGAAGTTCAATCCTGGCCGGTTCAAGGTTGACTCAGCCTCCCACCTTTCCGAGGTGGGTAAAATGAGGACCCAGATGGTTGGGGGGGGGGTCAATATGCTGACTCTGTAAATCGCTTAGAGAGGGCTGTAAAGCACTGTGAAGCGATATATAAGTCTAAGGGCTATTGCTGTTGCTATATACAGAACAAACATGCTCTAGTTCAGTGGTTCTCAACCTTTTTAATGCCACGACCCCCAACCGGTCGTAAGTTGAGGACTACTCAACCGGTCGTAAGTCGAGGACTACTCAACTGGTGCAGCACCGTTTGCAGAATGGGACTTTTGGCGGGCTCAGCAGGGCAGAGACAGCCTGGACAATTCCTATTGGCTTTTGAAAGCCAATAGAATTCGACTCTATTCAAGAGAGTCTATTCTATTGGCTTTCCAAAGCCAATAGAATAAAAGGGAGTAGCACAGCTAAGGAAAAGGGGGGAAAAAATGGCGGACTGCGTTGTTTGGCGACCCCCGTGAAATGGTCGTTCGACCCCAAATGGGGTCCCGACCCACAGGTGGAGAACCACTGCTCTAGTTTAAATATTAAATACTAAGCCTTAGAAAGTTTTGCTTCTACTATTTAATATTAAGCGTTTGCATTTTTTGCTTACATCTAAGTCATTTCATCTTTTTAATTAATCTATATTACTCACATTTTCAACGTAGATAATTCCTCATTTACATTAATATAACCTATCACTACCTTCCAAAACTTTTTATATTCATCAGAATGTTCTAATTTTTCAGGATTCTTTTGATATCTTTAAGAAAAGTAGTTTACTACATACTTCTAACTTGTTTTTTAAGAAGTGTGATGGGTAAAAAAACTCCTTTATATATATATAAATTGTGATAATTTTATGATTGTTATTTTTATAAAAATATATATTTTAATGCAGTACATTGCACGGAAATGCAATAAATAAATGGTTAAAATCTTTTAATAAATGAATAAAGTTATCTGAATCACAAAGATTTTGTGTATCTTACAAACTAATTAAATTGTATTGAATATAAATTTTTATTCTACAGAATCAAATGCCTTTTTAGCAGGCAGAAAATATTTCACATTAGCAATATTGCTGTAACAATTTTTAGCATCAGTATTTGAAATGTAATATTTTTACATATTGTTTAATTCAAATGTAATAGTTTTGCAATTGGTCAGCATCAATTAATCTTATTGTACTGCCAAAATCTGAGCGTATGTCATTATGTTGCACCCACCTCTTGGGTTACTGTTAGATTAGAGATCCTAATTTACACACAATAATGTGAATATGCCTTAAGTCACGGGTCCACAACCCCTGGGCTGCAGACCGGTATCAATCTGCGACCTGCTGGGAACCAGGCAATGCAAGCGGCAGGCAAGCATGCGCAGAACTGTGTGCACAAAACCATCCCCTCGCCACCACCCCCATCGCCGCCACCACTACCGGTCCATGGAGCCAGGAAGGTTGGGGACCACTACCTTAGGTAAAACTCCTTTGGGATGCATTTGCAAAATGTGCCCCAAATGGCCAGTTCGGCATCCTTGCCATTAGGAATGAATGCTGCATGCAGCATCAGCAAGACTCAACTTTGTAAGCTCTATATCCTTTAATAAAAATAATGATGCAAATGCCTAAAATGACAAATGGTGGGTAGTGGAAATCCATATCTATGACAAACAGGAGGTATGGAATAGAAGTGAAAAACTAGTAAAGAACATTACGGGGGAGGAGAGGGGGGAAGAAAACTATGTTATGTGCCTGTCAAACTAAAAGAAAAAGAGGGGAAGGATAACAGATGTGAATGAAGATGGCTTGATCTTGTGCAGATGGGGAAAGTGCACATGTGAAATAAAGATTTAACTAAGGATGAAAGAGCCACAATGAGCCTCAGAAGTAGGAACTGGCCTCATGAAAGTTATTCTGATGGCAGACAAGAACAAGAATTGGTGGGTGAGGCAACAGAAGTATGCTACGCTAGACTGAAGGGCCACAGCAAAAGAACCTGCAATCAATTCTAGAAAAAAGCTGCTGGACCCTCTGAATGGAGGCCATCGGAGGAGGTAGCCTGTTCCATTAGACAGATGAGCCAGTGAGGGAGGGAACGAAAGGGAACAGCAGAGGAGAGACGATGGAGCCATTTAGAGACCCAGGAATGAGCCTCTGATTATCAAAAGGCATGTTTCCAAATACACAGTTGGGCCACCACTTTGCACATGGAGAAGGAATGAATTGAAAATCATTACTTGTTAGATTGCTTGTGATAAAAACTAATGAGAAGTGGTGAAGCTGCAAGAGGAAGGAGAAGAACAGAAGCTGGAGGGGGCCTTGCAGGTCTTCTAGTCTAACCCCCTTCTCAAGCAAGAGACCCTATACCAGGGGTGTTCAACCTGTGGGCTGCAGCCTGGTACCGGGCAACAGCCTGTTGGTCACAGGGTTGCAGGAATGGCTGGCAAGTGCATGCACATGTGTGTGCACCACCCACTCACAGTGGCACCATCACACTGGTGCTAGCGGCCCTGTTTGCAGATGCAAGCAGGGGCTAGCGGCCTGTTTGCGCACATGTGGGTGCTAGAGGCCCACTTGCGCATGCACATGGGCTCTAACCCCACCACCATGCACGTGTTTGTTTGCACATGCACATGCGTGCACATTTTCCTGCTCCTCCCTTTCCCTCCAAGTGCCAATCCAGAAAGGTTGGGGAACGCTGTCCCAGACCATCCCAGACAAGTGGCTGTCCACTCTCTTCTTAAAAACCTCCAGTAATGAAGCATCCACAACTTCTGAAGTTCCACTGTTTCTGATTCCGCTGTTTCTGAGATTCTAAACATGGAACCAGCCACTGTTTAGAAATGTGAGTAGATGACTTTGGAGGAAAAAGGGACGCAGATGAAAGAAGGAAAAAGGACTAGAGTGAAAGCAGAAACTTTGTAGGAAGAAAAAGTCCTTTATGGACCTGCATCAGAAGACAGACCATCTGAGACTTCTGGTCCTGCGCGGCAGCGACTGGTTGTGGGCTTGCGGACCGCTGCACCCCCACAGCCAACTTTCGTCCTGCCTGGAGACCCTAATGGGTCCAAGCTGCCCCGGAGAGGCAGTGAAGAAAGAAGGGTGCCCCGGCGACTCTGGAATGACAGCGGTCGTTCTGTTCATCTTGGGGAAAGCCTTCTAACCCGACAAGAGAAGGGCTGTATTTCATCGATCAGCCCAAGCTACTTGCAACCGGAGTTCAAAAGAACTAACCAACACTACAGTAAACAGAGTGCTTGAAACTGGGTGAGGAATCTGATTTTCCCTTTTCTATTTTACATTTAATTTCCTAGAAAAGATCCCCAAGAAACAAAATACCCCCAAGAGTGAAGGAGGGGGACTTCTGCCCCATCCTTATACTAACGGAAGCAGCGAATTAAAATTTCTATGGAAGACCAAAATATATGGCAGTGAAATAAATTTATAAACTTGAAAGCTAAAATTTAACTTTGGACAAGTTTAAGATTGTTGAATGGTTAAGACTCTCATTTTAAAGACCATTGTTCATATTGAAAACTAAATAGATGCTGACACCTAGTGGTGGATGAAAATTATGACAGCTATGATTTTCATAGAGAACTTGCCAAAAGCTGGGAAAAGCTAATCTGTGTTTGTGACCTTCAAAGCTTTAATAATAAAGAACAGCCGTGACAAAAAAAAAAGACAACAATCTGGGCTGCAGACAAAGAGAGAATTATAAACTTTAGAAAAAAAAATATTTTTTGAACTCTTCGGATTACAAATATCTATTTAACCAGGACTGTCGTTAACCGATGACTACCTGCACAGCCTGCTTCAGAGGTGATTGAAACATCCCCACACGCAAAGAAGCATTAATTACTGCTCGTCTCCATCCCCTCACAGGAGATCCTGAAGGGCAGGGATCTGATGGGAAGTGGCAGGACTGGCCCAGCAGAAGGCGCTCTCAGCTTCCTTGAGCTTCCCAGACCCACCTGAGCAGACCTGGAACTGGCCCACTGAGCCCCAATGGCTGCAGGTGAGCGCCTCATCCAACAGACGCTGGGAGAATCCTCCACCGCTGCCCTTCAGGGAGTCTTGGCAAACCTGTTTCCCTAAAAGTAACACCCTGGCTTAAAAAGGGGCCACAGGTGGTCTGCGACAGTTCGTTTAGTGGCTGTTCAAAGTTAGAATGGTACTGAGAAAAGTGACTTGTGACCATTTTTCACACATGACCGTTGTAGTATCCTCATTTTGATCAGGTAATCAGAATTCAGACGCTTGACAACTGACTCCTATTTATGACAGTTGCAATCTCCTGGGATCACGTGATCCCCTTTTGTGACCTTCTGACAGCAAAGTCAAAGGGAAAGCCAGATTCACTTAACAACCCTGTTACTAACTTTAACAAACGCAATGATTCACTTAACAGCCGTGGCAAGAAAGGTCATAAAATGGGGCAAAACTCACTTAACAACTATCTTGATTAGCAACAGAAATTTTGGGCTCAACTGTGGTCGTAAGTCAGGGACTTCCTGTATCTCCTAGAGTCTAGACGGAAAAGCACCATTGCAATAATGTAGTCAAAGTGACTAAGGCAGTCAACTGGCATCAAAAGTGAATAAGTTGACTTCCTGTTCCGGCCAGCAGCGTCATCAGCTGAGAGACTCGGGATGCTGAGCTCTTCAACAGAGTTTCTTCTTGTTTGGGGACCCTAAATTGGCCAGAAGCTGCCCCGGAGAGGTGACAATGAAGGAAGGTACTTCCAGGGACCTAGGAGAGACGGCAGTCTCTCCGATCGGTCCAGGAGAAGCCTCCCAGAAACCAACAGAAGAAAGGCTAGCTAACTCCATTGTCTAGCCCTAGCTGCAAGCAAACGGAAGTCAAGAAGCTCTACCAAAACTGATTGTAAACAGTGTGTTTGAAGCTGGGTAAGAACTAATTTTCTCTATCCTACTTATTTGCCTGGAAAAAAAAAAAGAACTCCCAAGAAGCAAAAATACCTCCGAGAGTGAAAAAGGGGAGGGATTCCCCCCCCTTTGGCTATTGGAAACGGCGAATCTAACTCTTTAAGGAGGAAAAAAGGACTAGAAAAGTGAAAAATGATCCAACACTGACACCTACTGGTAGATGTGGAGCTATAAAGCTTTTGTTTGTGGCCTTCAAAATCTTAGTAAACACGGCTGCTCAGAGAAAGTGATATTTACAGAAACTATGGATGCTTTACAAGATACGCTGCAATCCATTCAAAGGACAATGATTTTAAACCACAAAGAAATACAAAACAACTTTGAAAGTATAAGTCAACTTATCTCCAATTTAAGTTCAAAAAAATCCTCAGGAGAACATAGCAGAGATGATTGAATATAAATCAGAGGAAAAAGACTTAAAGATGGATTTTCACAGAATAGAAGAGTATGATTTAATTCAAGTAGAAGGAAAGACAACTGACACTTCAACATCACAAAACAAATTGGAAGGCAAGAGAAAGGATTTTAATGAAAAGAAGAGGGCAAGTGCTCAGGACAGAGATATCGATTTACTTTCTACATCTACAGGAACACCTACGATCGTATGGGAAAACCTTTGGATCCAGCAAAGTATATTGATCAAGAAAGATTCTAGGCAAAGAAAAGAGATTAAGAAAAAAGATGATGGGACATACCAGAGAGAATACTTAAAAAAGAAACATGTGTTTGAATATGGTTAAAGAAATAGAAAAAATTTGAAACACACCATTCTAAGAGGGATGAAATGTCTTAGATACTTAAACATGACTGAATTCAAGAAAAGTATATATATGGAAGTGAATTAGAGTTGAGGGATTAGATGACTAGATTTATTGAATAGAATGTCTAAAGATTAAATATATTCTTAACTATGATTAAAAGAATAAGAAATTTGAGAAAATAAATACTATTAATCTAGGAGGGACATATATTCTAAGTACTATATTATTTCCTATGCTCTGTTATTACTGCTTTTTTCTCTTCTTTTTTATTTTTTTGTTTCTTTTTCATTCTTTTTTTCCCATTCTTTTTTTATTTTTATATCCATTACTTAAGAAACGTAAAAATGTGAGATGGCTTATATGGAAAAATAGAATTAAGTCTGTCAATATAAATTTAACTAATCGCTGAGAAAACCTTGATAAGGCACAAATGACTGAAAAGAAATGTATTAATATGATGATTATTGTTTAGGAATATTGGAATACTTTAAGAAGGATGAAATGTTTTAGATATTTAAAGGTGACTGAACTCAAGAAAAGCGTGTATATATATATATATATATATATATATATATATATATATATATATATACACACACACATATATATATATATATACACACACACACACACACACATACATATAAAATGCTTTGAATTAGAATTAAGGGATTAGATGACTAGTTTTCTTGAATATAATGTTTAAAGATTAAATATATTCTTAACTATGATTAAAAAGAATAAGAAATTCTAGAAAATAAATACTATTAATCTAGAAGAGATATATATTTTAAGTACTATGTTAGTTCCTATGTTCCGTTATTACTGCTTTCTTCTATTCTTTTTTTATTTTTTACTTCTTCTTCATTTTTTGTCTTTTCCCCTCTCTTTTTACTCTTATATTTAATACTTAAGAAACGTAAAAATGTGAGATGGCTTATATGGAAAAAATAGAATCAAGATTGTCAATGTAAATGTAACTAATCGCTGAGAAAACCTTTATCAGTAAAAATATTTAGAATTTGGTGGGAGAAATAAACTAAAATAAGGGCTGTAACAGGATTGATGATGAGGCAATCCAAATAAATGGAAAGAAATGTATTAATATGATTATTTTTTAGGAATATTGGAAAAATATATACTAAATTGTCATTTATTAAAACAACAAGAATTGTATTAACGCAATGTTTGCAAAAAAGGATATTTCAGGGAAAGAGGAAAGTAAACAAAAAAAATATATGGAATACAGACTATAGAAATCAATTGTTAAGGACTGTTTTTACAAATGTAACCCAGACATCACTCTGTTTACCAACTATTGAATGACTTGTGTAAAAAATTAACAAAAAATATAATAATAAAAAAGTGCATAAATCATTAAAATATTAAATAAGACAAAAGAAATGTGAAAAGGGTGTTGTGAAAAGGAATGAAAAGGTTCAAACAAGAAGCCTGACGCAAAGGGAGTGGAGGGAGGCATAAGGAGGAGGGAGTAAAAAGGAGGGAATGCGGGAGAGCCGCCTTTTAAAGCTCTCGGGGGGGGGACGGGGACCGGGGGGAGCCATGTGTTCAGGAGCACATCCCGAGCGAAAGCTGCAGGTCCCAAAGACAAATGGGATGTGAAGAAGTCCTAAGTGGTGGAAGAATTTTCAGCAATTGGAAGGCGGCAGGCATAGAGGGCATAACTGGAAGATACAAGTGTGATTTGCTTATGACACGGCTGTGCATCTCCCAGCCTTCATCTCTGACCTGGGTTGGGGGTCCCGGCCGCCATCTTCCGAGCTTTGCCTTTAGGCACGGGGGGCAGCAGTTCCACTTCCTCCTGAGGCATCTGGGCCACTTTCTGCAGGAAGATCTTTTCCAAGGCTTGTGCCATGAGGACAATATCGTCCGTGGGCTGGCAGAGAGGCACAGAAAGAGAAGGCAACACGGAATAATACAAGGCAAACCGAAACCCAAATGTCCACACATTCATTGCTAACTTTTGGGACAGAGGCCGTTTGGCCTCAGAGGGTTTGGGTCCAAGGGAGAAAATTCAGAGCCAATACACCCTCTTGGTAGCGGCCAAACAACCTTCTGAACATAGCCTGTAAATGCCATGAGACTCCCCCAGAAAAACAGCAGACTAGATCCTTTACCTTGTTGTAAATGTAACAATTGGTAAACATGGTGTTGAAATCCTGCATGCATTCGCTGGCGCTCCAGTAGTAGTTGTGCTCCAGGCGCTTCTTGATGGTGCCCATGTCCATTGGGTTCTTGATGATTTTGTGGTAATCCTGTTGGGGAGAGGAAGCAGTCAATCTTTCACTGGCATCCCGGAGATGAGAGATGAGAGACTCTGTCAAGGGAAGCCCTAAATTCTGACACTGGTGAGTGATGGATGGAGCAATCAATCGATCAGAACAGTGCTGGAAGGGATCTTGGAGGTCTTCTAGTCTAACCCCCTATACTATAGGAGACCCTATACTATTTCAGACAAGGGGCTATCCAGACTAGGGGAGACACGATAGCAACATTCCCGTATTTGAGAGATTGCCACAAAGAGGAGAGGGTCAGGTTATTCTCCAAAGCACCAGAGGGCAAGACGAGAAGCAATGGATGGAAACTAATCAAGGAGAGAAGCACCCTGGAATTAAGGAGAAACTTCCTAACAGTGAGAACACTTAACCAGTGGAACTGCTTGCCACCAGAGGTTGTGGGTGCTTCATCACTGGAGGCTTTTAAGAAGAAGAGACTGGACAGCCACTTCTCTGAAATGTATAGGGTCTCCTGCTTGAGCGGGGTGTGTGTGTGTGTGTGTGTGTGTGTGTGTGTTAGACTAGAAGACGTTCAAGGTCTCTTCCAGCTCTATTCTGATTATTGTTATTTAATTGGAAAAAATCTTTTTCAAAAAATGGGCAGAAAATTCATAGAAACAGGGGAAGAAATGACACTATAAAATGAAAATATCCCCTTTCCCGAGTGTCATGGATGAAGCAGCAACACCACAAATTATGGAGCTCCAGTGGCGCAGTGGTTAGAATGCAAGTATTGCAGGCTAATTCACTGCTCCCTGCCAGATGTTCAATCCTGACTGGCTCAAAGTTGACTCAGCCTTCCATCCTTCCAAGATCAGTACAAGGAGGACCCAGATGGTCGGGGGCAACATGCTGACTCTGTAAACCACTTAGAGAAGGCTGTAAAGCATTATGAAGCGGTATATAAAGAAGTTGCTATTTTGTGTTTTCCTGCCTTTTATCACAAACAAAACGTTGAGCCCAATGGATAGTCGCTTTTGTTCAATGATGCCTACTTGGCTTTGTTTCATTTGAGAGGAGTATCAAAGGCCCATCGTTCCATGTGATCATGTTTGCCTTGGCTAAAATTCAACAATATTTGGGGAGGGGATTCCTTATTTTCTTCTGGGTTTCAAATAAATAAATAAAATAATTGTGGGAAGAGAAGGAAAGTAGGCTGACTGGCTATTCCGCTTTGGGAATCTGGACAGTTAAGGCAAAATCCTGCAGGATCTGAGCGAGTTATTTTTGCTGTTATGGTGTAGGCGATGCAATATTTGCTCTCCAAGGACGGGGTGGGAATCTCACCATTTAGCAACACGAGCACACAGAGAGTGACTAAAGAATTCTCTTAGGAGGCAGGATGCTGACTGCTGCCTCAAAACTCAAACTCCACATACACAGGGAAACAGTGGCTGTGTTATGGACCGATAACAGGAGACCTGCCCATCAAACACAGTCTTTGGTTGCAACCAGACAGGCAGCAAAACCTCCTGAATCTCGCTTTGCACCTAAGGCAGTGTTTCTCAACCTTGACAATTTTAAGGCATGTGGACTTCAACTCCCAAAATTCCACAGCCAGCAATGCTGGCTGTGGAATTCTGGGAGTTGAAGTCCACATGCCTTAAAATTGTCAAGGTTGAGAAACACTGACCTAAGGTGACACTTAATTTTAACTGTTTGCGGACCGCTTCAAAAGACACCTTCACACAATATGATCTATAGCATGTCCCAATTTTAAATTTAACCACGTTGCAAGTTAAACGTTAAATGTCTTGACGGAGACATAAAAAAGGAGAAAGCCACACACCCAGGAAACGTCACTCACCGGTAAGTTTAACTTAATGGCATCCACTGGTTGATAGAAGGGCCACGCAAACTGGTGCTTCCACAGGGTCTTCACCACCACGTTCTGCATATACTGCAGTTGGTTCGTCTTCCTCCCAGGCTTGCTAGGGTTGGTGACCTCTGGCGGGGGAGGATTGACTGGCCCCTGGGGGGCCTGGATGGCTGATGTAAGGGCAGACATGGTTCCCCGCCTCCCTGCTTCACTGAGGGCAGCAGCAGCAGCAGCACAAGGGGGGAGGAGGACGAGGAGAGCCGCCTTTTATGCTCCCCGCATGGGACGGGCATCCCATTTCCTGGGACCGGCTATGCAGCCTGGAGAGGGCAAAAAGCATGTCAGTTTCTTCTGTGGGAAAAAGATGGTATTATTTATTTATTTATTTATTTATGAGACTTATATACAGCTTTTAAGTGCAAGCACTCTCTAAGCGGTGTACACCAGTAAGCAATGAATATATATATATTTACATTGCCCCCAACAATCTAGGTCCTCATTTTACCTACCCCGGAAGGATGGAAGGCTGAGTCAACCTTGAGCCGGTGAGATTTGAACCGCTGACCTGCTGAACACAGTCAGCTAAAGTGGCCTGCAGTACTGCACCCTAACTGCTGCACCACCTTTATGGAAAACAAGATGTTTTGTGGACAAAGCATCCAACCTCTTTTTCCAGATTCCATGATTACTTGGCGCTCCAGATATAAAGTAAACCATTTGAAGAGTTTTAGTCTCCTATCTTGCATCCCCATCATTCCCTGTCTCTCTCAGAGCAGAGGAAGAGGCAATCAGCTCTGGGACCATAAGCCATCCAGGCTGATGATTCAAATGAACAGCATGACAGACACAGAGCCCTGGTGGCACAGTGGTTAGAGTGCGGTACTTCTGCTGGCTGCCAGCAGTTTGGCAGTTCAAGTCTCACCGGCTCAAGGTTGACTCAGTCTTCCATCCTTCCAAGGTGGTTAAAATGAGGAGCCGAATTGTTGGGGCCCACAGGCTGACTCTGTAAAATACTTAGAGAGGGCTGTAAAGCACCAGGTGAAGCGGTATGTAAGTCTAAGTGCTATTGCTATTACATAAAACAGTGGTTCTCAACCTTTTTAATGCCGCGACCCCCAACCGGTCGTAAGTCGAGGACTACTTGACTGGTGCAGCACCGTTTGCTGAATGGGACTTTTGGCGGGCTCAGCAGGGCAGAGGCAGCCTGGACAATTCCTATTGGCTTTTGAAAGCCAATAGAATTAGACTCTATTCAAGAGAGTCTATTCTCTTGGCTTTCAGAAGCCAATAGAATAAAAGGGAGTAGCACAGCTAAGGAAAAGGGGGAAAAAAATGGCCGACTGCATTGTTTGGCGACCCCCGTGAAATGGTCGTTCGACCCCAAATGGGGTCCCGACCCACAGGTGGAGAACCGCTGACATAAAAGGACACCTGCCGAACAGAACACTCCTAAAGGCATTGAGAGACTCCATCAGCGATATGCTTATTAAGTACAGTAAATTGCCACCTATCAACCACGGGTGACTTGAAGAAAGAGAGAACCTTTATGAACAACTGATAAGATCAGAGATTCCATCGTGACAATTACAAACATCAGGGAAAGGGGGTCTTTCATGGCATCCCCTCTTTCTAAGACCAGGGCTAGTTCTTCCCATGGGCAGAGGGAAAAGTAGCACACATCTGAAGTCTCAAACCCAATTTACTAGAACCTAACAGCTATGCCCCAAAGAATAGGAGGGGCCTTTATGGTTTAATGATGGTGGATTCCCACTACATCCCGAAGCACTTTGTGTTGGCCTCATCTAGTGTGTTATACAAAACCTCAGGTGAAATTTGAACTGGAGCCCTGTCAATTGTGCTTCTTGAAGAAAGAGCAAATAATCCTACAACCATCAATAAAGATAAAGGAATGTCTGCAAGAGAATAGCCAAGCTGAGCACTGAAACTTCCCTAATCATCAATATAACTAATGATATATAGTACAAAATGGCAAACAGGGTCCCATATTTTTGGGTCAGAATTATGGACACAAAGGTTCATAACTGATTTTGTTCAGCTCTTTATCCCTGGAGGGATTCTGGTATATGCAACGGGGTTCAAAGACAGTGGCTTGACCCACATACGTGGCAACCCATACTATGACTTGGTTTTCATTTAACATGCATACGGAAACTAAGCAACAATAGTTGTTCAAAATAGCTAAACATTCTTTTTTAACATTAGACTAATGTGAAGCGAAGTACTAGCAAAAGGACCGTATTAATTTAAAACCACTAACCATAAGCCTCTTGGGGCATTTCCATTCTGACAGTAAAATAAAATGACACAAAGAGCAAAGTGCAAAAATCAATTTCTGTACCATCAGCCATTTCACAGGAATAAAGATTTTATCTTTTCAAGAATTCACATAATAATTCAAGATATAATTTGTTTATCTATGGGAGATGTCCCAAAGAAGGCAACAGATAAAACTATTCCAGGAGTGGCTCTCTTTTTCTCCCAGTAAAAACTGCAAATTCCACCAAAGGCCTCCCATCGCTGGGGAAAGAGAGCTGCCCATATAAAGAAATGAATCACCTAGGAGGGAAAACTTTTCCTGAGGGTGGAGTTTCAGTAAAATAAAAACTTCCAAACAATAAACCACCTCAAACATTTCTGGCTATCCTGTGCCAATCCACCTGGCCAGAAAAGAGTGCAAAGTACCCAGATGGACAAGGCATGGCCTTCTGCCACTGATCTTCCAATCTACAGGGAAACCCACCACTTTGGGGTACATGGATCCACCTAAATGGGGAAAAAATTGGGACAGGTTGCAAAACTTCCCCCTCCCCCCTTATGGACACTCCCCAATTCCACGTTTTTCTGACATTCTGAAGCAGTTTTTCATCACCATAACAGTTTATAATTTGGTGCAAATTCCCAAACTTTGGAATAGATTAAAACAACAAGTTTCCATAGCATAGAATTTACAAGGTTACTTTTGGCTATAAAGGATGGGAAACTATTCAGTAAGTTCTACTGATTGCACACAACCCATCTTCCATTTCTCTGATTCTGTTACAACTACTTGTGTTTTAACAACCCCAAAGTATGTTGTTTTTCTGTTCTTTCCCTCCTGAAGAGGTGCAAGATAATAGGGGAAAAAAATGAAGGGCTCTGGAAAACTCATCCCAGCAGTCCCCCTTTAAATGTTATACAAGCTCAATAATGACATGAGTAATGCAGAAATTATGGAGTCACTTCCTATCGTCCCAGGGCGCCTCCGGGGCACCACTACCTTTCATTATCCAGGTCTCTGCTTCAAAGCAAAGCAAGATGTTGGCTTTCTTCAGTCGTCAGGTGGAGTCCAGATGCCCAGGCTGCTGCTCTTGGATCTAAGCTACAGTGTTAATCCTCTGACTCTCCTAAAGTGCAGTCAGTCCACGCTTTGAAATGTGTCTGAGAACTCAGGAGCTGCCTAGAAGCTCGTCAAAAGCGCCTCAAGGAGGCACTCAGAAAGCTTTTGCAGAAGATGGCTCCTCTGCATCACAGCTCTTAGGGTTCGACCAGGCGCTCTCTCTGCCCTTTGGATTTCAGCTGCCGTGCTGAAGGAAGAGTGGCCTCGCTGGCTGGAAACCAGAGCTGAAGGGTACCAGGAGAAGCCCACCTACTGAGCCCTGGAGCCACAGGACCAGGGACACCCCTGCTGCTGGAGAAGGACTCGCTTTGCCCTCCAACCTGCCAGACCCCTGAGCAGAGATGTGCAGGGAGGCTTCTGCAGCAGGTCACACAGGAAGCTTTGGAAGGCAGCAAAAACCTAGTGGGCTACTGCAAATGTTTCTCAGGTCTTGGCAACTGGGTTTACTTATAGGGTGTTATCCTGCTTTTACTTTTTAATTCAAGGCAGCATACATAACTTACTGCCTTCTGCTTTCTCCACAACAACAATCCTGTGAGATAGGTTGGGGAGAGGGGAGAGAGAGAAAGGGGGAGGAGAGGAATGCCTGCCCCAAAGTCACCCATCCGGCTTTCATCCCGAAGGGAGGACTACAATTTGCCATCTTCTGGTTTCTTTTAACTGCGGCATCAAATTGGTTCTCAATTACTTCGGCAAGAAAAACTTCTGAATCCCATACACACCAAGAAAAGGCTTACTTTTTTCCCAGAATGATACACCCTGCTGCAATTCTGCTGACAATTTTTACTGCTGTATATAAATCAAATAAGAGATAAAGCATAAAGATCAAGCAGCCTCCAAATAACGAGGGGTCTGGCAGGCACAAAGCCTGTGTTATTTTGCTCCTCAAGAAAACTTCCAGAGGCTCCTGCATCCTTTTACAAGATAGCCTTAAATCACACACACACACACACACACACACACACACACACACACACACACACACCCACCCGCTGTCCTCCATCCGGGGCTTCCTTCCACCTTGGGAGTCGGCCAACCACCCTGCTTGGGAGCTGACGCTGCTCTCCTGGCAATTAGGATTTTCATCATCTCTGACATTTGTGACTAGGGGTTATGGGAGTTGTAGTCCAAAACAACCATAGGGAATTGGGTGATTTACTCCGAGTTTCTTTCTCTTCCTTCCACAACCTGATCGTGGGGAAGGCAAGTAATTACAAAGACTGTGATTCCAAAAAGACATTCAGCCAGCCAGCCAGCCATGCGCCTTTATTAGGATCACTCATTCACGCTCCAACTCAGCAGAACTGTTTTTTAAAAAGCCAAAGTGGTGATTTTCTTCTTAGTGGAACTTTTTGCACACTTCCGTGGGATAAGCATAAATGTCCTCATAAATAAGGCTCCCGTAGCACAGAAACCGGCGTTAAGTCCTTCTGCTTTCCTGTGATTCAGGCAGCGGGCTGTTCAAAAACCAAAACTTCCTTCCACCAACCGGTGTGGCACACAAGTTCAGTACCAAACTAGGCTAACAAAGCACACCCTCTCTTCCAAAGTTCACCACAGCTTAGGAAAGGCAGGCCTGGAAAAGGGAGTGCCAGCATCTCTCCTAACATCTTCAACAATGTCTGTGCTGGCTGGGCTTCTCCAAGATACAGTTTAGTATCATCTGGGCAGGAATAGCAAATGTCACTTGATAACCAAAGCAGGGCCATCGCGGTGCCATTGTAATTTTATAGGCAAATGGATTTATTCATAGGTCTGCACTTCAGTATTGATACACGACCCCACCCACTTAGTTGCTAAATTTCTGCTCTTCAAGACCTTCAATCAATTAGTATCATAATCCAAAGACTATCCTCCCAATGTTTAGAATAGATATTAGAAAGTGGGACTTTCCAGAGAGTTACAGGTTAGAAACCAAACTTCAGACCTAGAATTCAGCCGAGGTGGCGCAGCAGTTAGGGTGCAGTACTGCAGGCCACTTTAGCCGACTGTGTTCAGCAGGTCGGCGGTTCAAATCTCACCGGCTCAAGGTTGACTCAGCCTTCCATCCTTCCGGGGTAGGTCAAATGAGGACCCAGATTGTTGGGGGCAATGTAAATATATATATACATTGCTTACTGGTGTACACCGCTTAGAGAGTGCTTGCACTTAAAGCGGTAGATAAGTCTCATAAATAAATAAATAAATAAAGTAACTTGAAGCCTTTAATTCTCTCCTTCGGCAATCTAAAAGCCTCAAACCCCCTCCTGAGAACTGGGTTAGTTAGTTCTGGTGGAGAAGAGAAAGGAAGTTCCTACCTGCTTTTTAAAAAGGCTGAAAGTGGAAAAACCTTCAATAGTGCACCGGCTGCCTTGGGTCAAAGTCCATAAGCACCAAGCAATATCCAGAGAAACACTGGCTCAAACCGTACTCTGCGCTTATCCGTAAGAGTAGCTTTCTTATTGCTCGCTAAATAAGGCAGGATTTACAATGTGCAAAACACGGCATTTATGATGAAAATTGCATCCTGGCCTTCTGCTAATATAAAGCACTCAAGCTGGCTTGCAAGTTAAAAAAAAAAAACCACAAAATATGAAGTCCATCCACCCATAAAATGAAAACCAGTTAAGAGTTCAAAGCCTGATGAAAGAAACGCATTTTCACCATTTCCCTAAAGGACACCTCCTTAGGGGACAGGAAGCCTCCTCTTCTGCTGGAATCATTGACCAGCTTCCCAAGTGCCTTCCTTCCTGCTGATCTGGGCAATCAGGCCCAATCCTGGCTTCACACCTGGGTTTAGGGCAGTGTTTCTCAACCTTGACCATTTTAAGGCCTGTGGACTTCAACTCCCAGAATTCCACAGCCAGCGTTGCTGGCTGTGGAATTCTGGGAGTTGAAGTCCACAGGCCTTAAAATGGTCAAGGTTGAGAAACACTGGTTTAGGGTCTTTCCCCAATCAATTATGGCACATTCAGCATGTTTGGCTAGCATAACTTTCACCCAGGTCTCTGTCTGGCTTCGCCATTTGAACTAATGGAGAGCTGCAGTTTCCACCCCGACTTTTCTGTCCAGCTTGAGAGCCGGGTCACCGGCAGCCGAGCGGAGGCACCCCCCCCACCCGCCTCCCTCAACCGACTCTTCACTTTTGACAGGTGTCATGTAACTTTCTTTGCGGGCTCTTCCAGCCTGCCCATGCCAGCCTTTTTTTATGTATATCAAGGCTAAGGGGCTGCAGTCCTTTGGCGGCTTTTAAGTGTTCGAGGGCGAGAAAAAAGCCCGCCGGGCAAGCACCCGAATGGCTGCCTGCCTCGCCCGGCTCAGCGGGGAACGCATCTGCTTCCTCCATCCCGGCGGCCGGCTGGCACCCGCCCGGCGGCCGGGCCGCGGATGCACCGACTCGGCGGCCCAAGGAGGGCCGCCCTGGCCGAGGCTTCCCCTTCTTGCTGCTGGAAGCCCCCAGCGAGAGCCTCTGCCGCCGCCGCCCCCCGCCCCGGCGCTCCAGGGCTGGCCGAGGCCGCGGGGAAGCCCACCGGGGAGGCCGCCCCAACTTCGGGGGAAGCGCAGCGGCGGAGACCGCGAGGGGCGCACCTTCCGCGGATCCCCGTCGCCCGGCCAGGTCCCGGGAAGAGACCCCCCCGAGCATACTAGGGTACCCCCGCTTGGCGGCCCGGCTTCGGTCCCCCCCGGAGGCGCCCCTCCGCCGGGCCCACCGAATGGCGCCGGCCTTTGTGTGGCCGCCGCGGCGCCGCCGGCGAAGATGGCGCGGAGGGAGTCGCCGCCCCCCGCCCGCCTTTGTCGCCGTCGCGCCCCTCCCCCGCGCGGCGGTTGGGGGGCCCGCGGCGCCCCTCCCCTCCCGGCCTGGGCCCGCCCGCTTACTTGGGCCCGCCGCCCCCGCCGCCGCCGTCCCCGCCTGGCCAGGCCGCCGGGCGGGCGGGCGGGAAGGCTGGCTGGCTGGCGCTGCGTACCAAGCCGCTCCTGCCGCCGCCACCGCCGCCGCTCCGGTCCGCAGGCGCCCGCCGAGGCCAGTCGGGCTGATGCGCGGACGGGGCACAGCGCTGCGCTCATGCGCCGGCCGCGCGGGCCGCCGGGAAGCGTAGTTCGCTGGCGCGGCCTGGCGCGGCGCTCCGCCCGGCGGGGACTACAAGCCCCAGCCTGCGCGCGCCGCCTTTCTTCGCCGCGCCGCCAACAAAGCGCTCGGCGGCCCGGCCAGGTGGGCCTCGGCTCGGGCGCCCGTCGGGGCTGCGTCGCGGGGACGGAGGCTGCCTGGCGGCTGAAGGGAGAGGGCGGCGCAGCCCAGGCACCCGCCGGCCCCGCTTCTGCTCCGGAAGCCTCCGAGGTGTAGGCCGCGAAGGGCTTCGCCAAGCGACCCAGGGCGGCCGGAACGCCTCTCCTCGGGCCCCTCCCCCTTGAAGGAGCGGCGGGGTCTCAGCGAAGACCTTTGCACGGGTCCATTCACACGGTCCCGGGTCGACACGCGGCTGGACTTCTGTCACCCGCCCTGTGTGGGGCTGCCCACGAGGACCACCCAGGAGCTTCGACTGGTCCAGAATGCGGCCTCCCACACGCTCAGTTCAGAACACCCTTGCAACCCCCCTGCCTCAGGAGGAGGTGTGTGTTGCTGGTTTGCTTGCAAGCGAGATACACTGGTGGGGTTGCTGCCTATAAGCCAGTGTTTCTCAACCTTGACCATTTTAAGGTATGTGGACTTCAACTCCCAGAATTCCACAGCCAGCATTGCTGGCTGTGGAATTCTGGGAGATGAAGTCCACATGCCTTAAAATGGTCAAGGTTGAGAAACACTGCTATAAGCCCTCCATTGCCACAGTGCCTGGTTACTTGAGGGACCCCCTGCCTCCCACAGCATCTGCTCAGCTGATTTCTTCCTGCAAGATGGGCACACTCCGTGTTCCGACAAAGCTGGCGAGTGTGCCTTCTCTGCAGCAGCAGCTGCTCTCTGATTCCCCCAGAGATCGGGATGTGCCCAACTCTGCTATTGTTGTGAAAAGCTGGCTCCAAAACTATAAATTCAGGTGGTCCTCATATACTGACCACTTGTTCAGTGACCATTCAAAGTGAACAGTGGTCCTGAGTGGTACTTCAGATGGATCCTCAAAATTCTGGCTGTCCCAGCACCCCTAATGCCACATGACTGCAATCTGGGCAGCAGCTGGCTTAAAACAAACAACAGTTGCAGCATCTCACAGTCAGACGATACCCTTTTGCAATCTTTCCTGGCAGCTTCCCACAGATGAAGTCAGTGGGGAAGCTGCAAGTCATGCTGGTAAGTTACTCTTACTTTCCCCCACACACTCCTTGTGCTCATGCCATGCTGGCCACCCGCATGCCCTCCCCATATGGCAGCAGCCACTTACCTACCTGCCAGCCTGCTTGTGAAATACCTGGGACTCACTATCTGTGCTTAGCAATGGCAACAGAGCATCAGGATCCCTTTGGTAAATGATGTCACACTTTAGGACTGCACCACTTGATGACAAATTCCTCTGAATCATTGTTAACGGAGGACTTCCTCAACTAGTATAATACACTTATTGTAAGGTCACAATAACTGAATCTTGCAAGTCTGAAAGCACTGCTCCCCCTCCTCCACTTTTCAGTGAAGGAGGGCAGGCCCCTTCTGAGATGGTCCCCTCTTTTAGACTCAAGATTTCATTCATCAGATCCTTGTCTAGGCCAGTGGTTCTTAACCTGGGCGATATTGCCCCCCAGGGGGCGATTTCATTTTTCAGGGGGGCAATGGAATGAAAAGGGGGCGATATGGGGGCGATGGAGCGAGAAGTTTTGGGGACACTTTTGAGACTTTTTCGTACAGTGAATCGCTGTATATCTGTCGTACAAAAATATCAGATCGCTCGCTCTTAGTGGATTGAATTGTGTTTTCAAATGTTCCTCCCGCTAGCTTCAGTACAGAACGCCATACATATGTGAATATGCATCGCTTATCTTCAGGCGCGTTGCACAGCAGCCTCTACCCGTACAGTGGCGCACCGTTGGCCAGAATATGGGAGATATGGGAAAAAGACTGGAAATAAATTATTTGCATCGATATGTCCTGATGACAATTTTAAAGAAAACAAAAAAAGGGTTTGCATAAATCGAAGAATTATTTCCTAGGTTGTGATTGAGAGGTTATGTTGGGGGAGGGGGGCGATGACAACTTCCTCATTGGCTCAAGGGGGCGATTCGTTCAAAAAGGTTAAGAACCACTGGTCTAGGCCATGTCTCTTCTTCCAGTCTCCCAGTTATTTTCACACGCCCTTCACACCCCTGGCTTCCTTACACTTGCCAATTTTTATCTTTTATCGTAATAGTAATTACTTTGCTATGAACTGCCCTGAGTTATTGAGTGGCTTACAATTTTAATAAATTATTATCATTGTAGTATACATGGTACACATGATTGTTATTCAACAGTTCAAGTCTACCCAACACTGATTTATTTCCACAATTGCTTCTTGGAAATACTCAGTCACTGTAAAGTAATACAATCAGAAAATTGTTCACTCTTTCAATTTAGGATTATTCACAAGAGGAGAAAATGATTGAATACATGTGAAATTATTACATTAAATGTAATCATTGAGGTAGACAAGTGGCTTAAAATGGAATATTTTAAGTCTGATGAATCAGGGAAGCCCCGCAGCACCAGCTGAACCAAGCACAGGTTGAGATAGAATCAGCCCCTATTAGCCTGACTTGGGTCCTGCCACAATTGCAGAATGCTATACCTATGATTCTCGACTTACAACTGTAACAAAACCTCCCCACTACAATCATACGACAGAGAATGAGATGGCTGGATGGAGTCCCTGAAGCACTAGGTGTGAACTTAAATGGACTCCAGAAGATGGTAGAGGACAGGAAGACCTGGAGGAACGTTGTCCATGGGGTCGCGATGGGTCGGACACGACTTTGCAATTAACAACAACAATCATAAATTGTGATCCTTAAGTGAGTTGCCCACATGGTTGCCTCGCCCAACAACCACTGCTCTGAGCCTCCCAGGTGCTAAGCAAACCGAGTGAAAGAGGCTGGCAGCTCCCCTCCGTGTGCAGAACCTGCACTTTGGGCCAGAGCAGGGGTTCTCAACCTTGGCAACTTTAAGACTTGTGAACTTCAACTCCCAGAATTCCTCAGCCAGCAAAGCTGGCTGAGGAATTCTGGGAATTGAAGTCCACAAGTCTTAAAGTTGCCAAGGTTGAGAACCCCTGGGCCAGAGAAAGGCCCAAAGGATCCATGCTTCCTCCTGCCCAGTGCACCAGGTTGCCTCCCCACCAAGTGGTGGTGGTGATGGTGGCAAACTAGATTAGAGCCCAAGGATGAGCTTCTTCCTTTCTCCAACTCTGCGCACAATCACCCCTGCCCTTTCTGGCCCAGGGCCCTGGTTCTGGGAACCAGGCAATCTGGGCAGGAGAAAGGAAGTGGCTTGTGACCTTCCCTGACGGTCCGTTCAGCAACACTGTCATTTCAAATGGTTGCTGAGCGGTCGTACGTTGAGGACTACCAGCGCTTCAAGTTCCCCCTGAAGACCGTTGAGCAGCATCGTCTGGCCTAGAATGCAGCAGGGCGGTCAGTAATGGACACTTCTGCTTTGTGAACTACCCTGCTGACCAGTTTTCTCCTGGGTGCGTTTCAAGCGACCTGTAAAGCGCTGCTTCGCACAGCGCCTGGTTACTTGAGAGACCACCAGCTCTCCTGGCCGGTCCGATTTGGCAGGACCCTTGGATCAAGCGGCTTCACCTCGAGGGACCCCCTAAGCCTGCCTCCGTCTCCGCTACAGCGCCCGGAAGGACGACCCCCTCCCCGAGATCCAGGCAGCGGGTCCCCTTGCGGGCGGGTAGGGGCCGCGGGCGCGGTTGGACGGATTCCTCTTCCTGTCGCTCAATTCAGACACGGGGGCTTCCCGCTCGGGAGCTCTGGAGTCCGGAGCCACCTGGGCAGAATCAACGCGTGTGCGTGTGAAGAGGTGAACCTCGCCTATGGAAGACTACGCTTCTGCGAACCAGCCTCTGCCGCCGAAGGCTGTCCGCGGTCCTCACGGCTCCTTGCGCGCGATTCAGCTGCAGCGGGAACTGCTCCTGCCGTGCGTGGGGCAAGGAGGGGAGAACCCTTTGCCCTCGCCGGCCTGCGGGCACTGGCCGTGAGGGGCCCGGCTGAGACTCCGGAGCCGCCCCGCCAGCCCCCTCTTCCCGCGAAAGAAACCGGGCAGCCCCGAGCGGCCGGCAGCGGGAATCCCTCCAGCCCTTGGAAGTTCCCGATGAACTCGGCTACGCGCCTGCGCCTCTTGACCCGCTCAGCCCGCCGTAGCCGCGAGAGGCGCTTCCGCCCGGCGTGTCCCGGCACCGCCGTACCGGCAGCCTCTGCGCTTGCGCGAGCAGGGGAAACGGAGCGCAGTCGCGGCCCCGTGCCTGACCGCCCGCAGTGCGCCTGCGCGAGGCCTTGCGCGGCTTCCACTCCCTCTTCCCTCCTCCCTCCCTCCCGCCGGGCGGCCCGCAGGGAGGCGGCGGCGGCGGCGGCGGCAGAGGAGCCCGAGGAGGAGCCCGAGCCGCCCGCGGTGAGTCAGCCGGCGGCCGCAGCCTCCGGGCTCCACGCGGCGGCGCTGGGCGGGCGGTCCGTTTGGGGCCTCCGTCCGCTGGCGGTCCTGCGGAGGCGCACCGCGCGGGGCGGTGTGGCGGGCCCGGAGCGCCGCTGCGGCTGCTCCTTCACGCGAGAAACGCTGCCCTCCCTCGCTCGCCCGCCCGCCCGCCCCAGATGGCGGGCCTCGTTGCGTCGTGGGCCCCGGCCGGGAGGCGTTCCCTGCTGCGATGACCGTGGAAGGGGAGGCCCGGTCCGGGGAACCCCCCAAGAGAGCCCTCCCCGGGCCTGGCCTGAGGACCCTCCCTGCGGCTCCCCCTTCTTCCTCTCCTTCCAGCTGTGGCGGGAGCCCCCCTGCCCCCCCCCCCGTTAGGACTTGGCGGACTTCAACCCCCAGAATTCCCCGCCCTCTGGCTGGGAATTGTGGGAATCGAAATCCACCCTCTTCAGCGCGGGGGGGGGCACTGAGCTGCTGGAAGAGGGCTGTTCTCCCCCCCCCCTTATCTCCTGGGGAGCCTGCAGCCGTTTGGGCTCTCCTGAATAATTTACAGCAGAGAAGTCTGCCACGTCCCCCTCTCGTATTATTGCAGTAAAAAAAAAAAATTCAAATATGCCACATACATGCCCCATGCCTGAAGGCCTGGCCCTGGGTTTGATTTCCTGGGAGGGACCGACAGAAGCTCAGCTGGGGTTGGGTGGCTTCACAATGTCCTGGGATGCATCGCCCCTCCACTTATTTCACGGATGGGTGAAGCTGCAGTGGGTCACGTTGCTGCTCCTAGATGCGTGTAAGTAAAATTCCTGTTCTCTTTCTGCCTCTTTTTCTTCCCAGAGACAGGCAGATCCCTCCTTTGAAACCGCCTAATCCTGGCTTGTGCTTCCCACCGTCATGGCTACGGAAGAGAAGAAACCTGATGCGGAATCAGCCAAACCACAGTCGGCTCCTTCCTCCTCAACCAATCAGAGCAAGGTGAGTGGGAAGCTTCTGGCCCATTGTTCTGCCTGCAGGTCCAAGTAGAGTTCCTTGGGAGTGTCTGAGGAGCATGAAAACCTGCATTTTGCTGAGAGGATGATTCAGAATACTTACCTCTCTTCTTGCTTGTAGGGTTTAGTTGCTCATGGAGCCATCATATTTGAGCATAAACGATATCGGTGCCAGGAGAAGCAGGCTATTGTTCCAGTACATGATAGGTTTAATGGCAACTGCAACTTTGTAATATTGAATTCCCATATTTATATTCTAGTAACGTTTTGCCAGAACTTTATTGATTTCAGCAATATCAAGTAATTATGTTATCATAAATCCAAGATACAAATAAAGAAAAATATGGGAAATATAAAAAATGTTCTATACAATGTAAATAAAGAGATGGATGCTGAGCATCTGAAAATGTGCCATATATAAAAATACACCCTTATTTCTATTCTAACTACTGATCAAACTTTTGAGATGCAGGTAGTTTTCAGGTTATGGCCATTTGCTTAGCAAATGGTACTTAGGATGGGTCCTTGTAGTTCCAATTGTTACAGGGACCTTGTGGTCACATGATCGTGATTCCCAATTGCCTGCTGGCTTCCCACAAGCAAAGTCAATAGGGAAACTAGCAGGAAGTCAGAGGTACGCCTCCTCAATTATCAACTGCAACTGGGACTGCTGGAATTGCCAGTGCTAAGTGACATGGTCACATGATGTCACATTTTATGACTGTCACTTAACGACTGCAGTTCTGGTCCCAATTGCTGTTGACTATCTGTATCTGCAATCAATAGAACAAAGCATAACTTAAATAAAACAACTTATATGTCAACAACTGAGAATAGAACCAGATACAAATGGACATTTTCTAGCAATGCAGCCTGCAATTCTTTTATCCGGAATTCTTCTATCCTCTGCGTTAAGAACTGAGCCCCTACCTGTAACTTCTCGAGTGTGCCTGACTCTAAATGTAGTGTTTTTCTTAAAGAAGTTCTTGGAAAGATGCAAGCTATATTTGAATAGCTTATAAATTTATCTTAATCAGGACAGTAAAATGTTTAAGAGGATACCACAGAGTATTGGATTTCTGACAGTTAATGCTTTGCCAGGTAATCAGAACATGCTGTTGCAAAGGAACTTAGTTCCGGTTAATCCAGCTCTGTTTTCCAGCTGTTTTACTGGGAGGGTACAAATGTCACTGCCTCCCTGCCAGGCAGCCTTTGGCATTTGTAGGTACATGGCTTCTGCACAAAAAGCTTCATTTATAGACATTTACTAAAACTGTCTTATAATTTGTGAAGGAGCAGATTTCAAAGTGACTTGGTACCTGCATTTGCACCATCTTGCTTTCACACACTTCAGTTAATTTGATAAATCCTAATAAAAGGATCCTGGAAGCCAGTTTGGTCTAGCACAGACATGTCAAACACAAAGCCTGTGGGCCGGATGCAGCCTGAGAATTGGTTTCATGTGGCCCGCGAAGCCATCCTGGAAACAGTGAGGGAACGGCCCCCGCTGCCTTGGCCCTGGCCCAGGCCGGCCAGGAGCCAATGAACAATTTTGTGGTGGCCATCTATGCTGAAACGCATTCAGTCTTAGCTCCACAAGGCCGTCCAGAAACAGCGAGGAACCGGCCCCTGCCGTGTCGCCCCCGCCCTCTGGGTGCATGCTGGACAGGTGTCACCCTTTATGAGAAATGAAGAAATGCACCATCACCTGGAAGTGGTCAGCAAATGGCCCTCGCCTACTTCACATATCCAGCTTGATGGGCTCTGGGGGAGGGGTTTCGGCAGGCAGCGGGGCGCTTTCATAGCGCCGAGAGGCTGAGCCGGGCGGCATGAATCAAAAAAAGAAGCGCGATGCCGCCAAGCCCCCAACCTGCCCGGTTTCGGCCTGCAGCGGGGTGCTCTCACAGTGCCAAGAGCTGAGCCGGGCGACGCGAATCTGATGAGAAGTGCAATGCTGCCTAGCCCCCAGCCTGCCCAGTTTCAGCACGCAGCAAGGTGCAAAGCTGGCGAGCTTCCCACTGCCCGGGTCAACCTCTCGGCGCTGTGAGGAAAGCGCCCTGCTGCCTGCCGAAATCGGCAGGTTGGGGGCTGGGTGGCATTGCGCTTCCTTTTGGATTTGCGCCGCCCGGTTCACCCTCTTGGCTCTGTGTGGAATGCGCCCTGCTGCCTGCCGAAAGCAGGCAGGCTGAGGGCTGGGCAGCCTCGTGTTTGTTCTTGGATTCACGCTGCCTGGCTCAGTCTCTCGGCGCTGTGAGTAGAGCGCCCCACTGTCTGCCGAGACCGGGCAGACTGGGCGGCATTGCGCAGGTAACGTTGACTCTCATGCGGCTCATGGCATCCCCTCCCCCAGAGGCCACCAAGCCAGATATGCGAAGTAGGTGAGGGCCATGTGCTGGCCACTTCCAGGCGATGGTGCACTTCTTCATTCCTCACGAAGGGTGACCCCTCCCCAGCTGCCTTTCTTGCCTGTTTTTCTCCCTCCCTCATCTCAAATATTTTCCCACCACTCTGTACTTAGGAAGGAAAGAAGAAGGAGAGGGAGGGTCTGAGAGAAGTCCTGCCTTAGTCCTGCCCTGCTGCCCTTTCACCATCCCCTTGCCCCCTCCTCCTGGCCTGTCCTGGGGTCTCCCATCCTATTGCTAAGGAAGCTTTGGATACAAAGCCGGGTCTCCTCCCGTGGAGATGGAATGGGCCTCTCTCTGACTCTGCCCTCGTACCCATCATGAGCAATCTGGGTAAGGACAGCAAGCATAGCAGCAGCAACCTTGAGAAGGAGGCAAATGCAGCTGGGTGCCCCCTTGGGGAAGTGGGGCTGGGCTTGGTGCTGCGGGTGCTGAAGGGCCAGGCTGGGCATTTGACCTCTGCTGCCTAGGGCTCTAGGCAGCCCACACCACCATCCCCCCCCCCGAATGGTCTGAGAGGAACAGTGAGGCTCCTCCAGTGGACCATGCCTTGGCCCTTGCCCTGGTCCCACCCCCTTCTGCCAGAGACCCTCAGATCTGTCCCACTCCTGCCCAGGCCCCCACAGGCACCCTTGACGTGAATGATGTAGAGCTGGCCACGCCCACCCAATAGGCCACACCCACTCCACGCCCACCCAGTAGGCCACACCCACCCAGGACACACCTACCCGGCCCCCTGAGGGCAACCGCAATGATGATGGGGCTCTCAATGAAATTGAGTTTGACACCCCTGGTCTAGCAGTTATGGGGCTGGATTAGAAGCCAGACTGAGACCCATTTTAATCTCCTCTCGTGTGTGGGAGCTACCTGGATGACTTTAGGCCAGTTGCTCTCCTTCAGAAAAAGGCACTGGCGAGCCATCTGAAAGCATTGCAGGAAAAACTTCAGGGACTTGTCTTTGTGGTCACAAGGCTGATGTGACGGGCCAGGAAATAAAAGATCTCCCAGTTATTGTTTTATTGGGATTATTGGACTTCGTAAAGCCAAGAGCTGTCTGCCAAGAGCCCAGTCCTTGTTCCTTTGCTGCCTGGAGGGAGGTACAAAGGGAGCTGGGCTTGGGGGGATCCTGGACAGTTATGAAGTACCTGGCAAGGGGTGGCCAAAGAACTGCCTAGGCCAGTGATGGCAGTGTGTAAAGAGAACAAGTGATTTCTTCACCTAACATGGTTTTCTTTTGCCAGCCTGCACCTGTGAAACCAAACTATGCCCTGAAATTCACATTGGCAGGACACACCAAAGCCGTATCCTCTGTAAAATTCAGTCCCAACGGAGAGTGGCTGGCTAGTTCTTGTAAGTATCCTTCTGCTCCCTTCTTTCTACAGCAGTGTTTCCCAAACTTGACAATTTTAAGGCATGTGGACTTCAACTCCCAGAATTCCACAGCCAGCGTTGCTGGCTGTGGAATTCTGGGAGTTGAAGTCCTCATGCCTTAAAATTGTCAAGTTTGGGAAACACTGTTCTACAGCATGTAATCCCGGTTGAGGGGGAAGTCAAGTGTGTGATTTTTTTTTTTTTTTACATTTCTGGATATTTGTGTGACAGCGTGGGGGCTTCCTTCTGAGCAAATTGTTATTCAGAACCCCACCAGTGTCCTTGGAAATGCAGGGGTCCGACTGGGGTGGCTCCAGAAAAGGCCCCTGGTGTATCCTCCTCAGATCTTCCGCAATCACCACCGCAGTTGAAGCAGCTGGTAACCTAGTATTTCTCTCCAAGGGCCCCAGTTGTGGAATCTCTCCTCTCTGGGAAGCTGGCTTGGCTTCCCATTTGTTCTCTTTGAGTATCAGGTTCAAATATTTGAATTGTTTACAGCAATATCAATAAGATGCTATATTTTAAAATGCAGGAGTTTGGTCATCTGCTTCTTATTTATATTTTAATTGTGCATTGTGCTTTCTTTTAAGTTATGCGTGACATTTTAACTGAAGCAAAGTTGTTCTTGATACAGTGGGTCAGTGTTTCCCAAACTTGACAATTTTAAGGCATGAGGACTTCAACTCCCAGAATTCCACAGCCAGCAACGCTGGCTGTGGAATTCTGGGAGTTGAAGTCCACATGCCTTAAAATTGTCAAGTTTGGGAAACACTGCAGTAGGTGATCATTTCAGAACATTTGTAAAACTGGCAGAATTGGGATTTCTTAAGGCTGTTTATAATGCTCAGTGTTGTATCACGCAAAGGTAATTTTATGATTGGTGTAAACATTTCATAATTTTGCACAATATATTCTGGTTCTCCATGCTCTGGACTGGGTGAAAGTGAGTGGAAGCCCCTGAATTTTGGAATTCTTTTATCAGCTCACTGTGAACGGATTTGTAGGCTGGACATTTGTAAAGATGAAAGTGAAATTTCTGTGCAGCTGTGTTCACAATACTTCATTGGTGACCCTGCTGGTTGGACCAAGCGTCTCTTGTCCTCCCAGTGGGAAAGACGTTGCTACTGCTGCTGCCCTGCCTTCCCCAACTCTCACTGGGTTGGGTTAATTGAGTGCCAGTTGCCATGTGACTGCAGGGACACTCTGAGGGCCATTATCTGTCACGAGTAGCCCTTTTTCAGCACGATCATAACTTCAGACGATGACTAAACAACATTAGATGAGGACTACTTGTTTTTGCAGCAAACAAAATTATGGGTGGCAGACTGACTTGGCCTTTGTAGTTGGTCATTTTCACTTTTTTTCTTTTTTCAGCGGCTGATAAGCTTATTAAAATTTGGGGTGCTTACGATGGCAAGTTTGAAAAAACAATGTCTGGACACAAACTGGTAAGTATAATACACAGGATGGAGATTTAACTGAGAGAGTCCCAAGATACAGGATCCCCTTCTTAGCAAACTCCTTCCCAAGAAGGCGTTGTAGTAAGCCATGAGGAGGAAGTTACAGTCTGGCTTAATTATTCAGGCCTATCACTGAGGTGGTCTCTGGGTCAGAACACTAGACAGAGGACACTTGAGGACAAAAAAAAAAAAACATTCCCACGGGAAGAGAGATTTCTGGATTAAACAATGTTTGACCACAAACACAGGGAAACACATTTTGAAAGCACTTCCCTAAACCTCTGCTGAGAAATAGTTGGACACATCAGGAGTTATCAAGTGAAGCATTTGCTGGAGGAGTGTGCTGTACAGAAACATCCTTCGGTGTGTGGGAAGATACACCTGTGCACCTGTCCCCTCCTGAGCAAAGGCTTCTGCAGGTCGAGCTGATTCTTTGTGATGTCTGCGTAGGTGTTATAAAGGAGACGACAATTTTGTTTTAAACTTCCAAATGTCACCTGCAGCCCTGAGGTTTCCTAGCAGCCTGACTTCTCATGAGCGTCTCCTGATCACCCAGGCTAGTTGGTAGTGCCAGCTGCTGGGGAGGGATAACATTTTCCAAGATGTTACCCCAAACTTTGGATGAAGGAGAAGTTATTGCAGAGGCACTTTTTCTGTTTTGCAGGGAATCTCTGACGTTGCTTGGTCATCTGATTCTAACCTTCTTGTCTCTGCCTCGGATGACAAAACTCTCAAAATTTGGGATGTCAGCTCGGTAAGACGTTTGTGATTGGGTGATTTCAATGTCCAAGAACTTTACATTTGGAGATGCACTTCATGCCCCGATCCCCAAAAAATCCCCCATTTTTTTTTTTCAGTCAGACTCAATTTCAGTGCTTAATTTTCTCTTCTCTGCCTTAATGAAGCAGAGAAACCTGAAGGGGGTTTCCTCTGGCGGTTCCAAGATCAGTTAACCTTTACCAAGAGACTTGATGATTTCACAGGTGTTTAATCTTATTATGTGTATATATGAAAACACAGAGGGGGAGTTTGCTGGCTGTCCTCCCCCCCCCCCAACCTCTCGTCCAGGAGGAAGTGGGAGAGTGCAGGCAGGAAGAGGCTGCTCCCTCTTGATTTGCTTCTGGCCTTGATTGGTCGGTATGGAAAACTGCTTCAGGAGAGTAAAAAGAGAATTATGAGCCAGGATACAACATCAATATCTGGGAAAACCCTAAAAAAGATACAGTCAGGTCCAGAAATATTGGGACATTGACACAATTCGAACATCTTTGGCTCTATAAATTAAAGCTGACAGTCTGCAGTTAAAGCACATTGTGTTTGTTTCATTCCAACTCTATTGTGGTGGTGTATAGAGCCAAAGATGTTCGAATTGTGTCGATGTCCCAATATTTCTGGACCTGACTGTAAGTAGCGAATTTGTGAGCACCTGGAAATGAATAAGGTGCTTGCTAGAAGCCGGCATGGATTTGTTAAGAACAGATCATGCTAAACAAACCTTACATTCTTCTTTGAAAAAGTGACTAAATTAGCGGATCAGAAATGCTGCGAAGATATTATATTTTGATTTCAGTGAAGCATTTGACAAAGGAGACCACAACCTGTTTCTTGGCAAGATAGAAAAATAGGATAGAAAGCATGACCACCAGATGGATTCTAATAGGCTGACCAACTCCACTCAATGTGTAATCTTTAAGGGAGCTGCATCTACATGGAGGGAAATAAGCAGTGGGTTACCTCAAAAGTTCTGCCTTCTGCCCAGTACTCTTCAACATTTAGATGAAGAGATAGAAGGGGAGTGTATCAAATTTGCAAGTGATAGCAAGTTGAGGGGAATTGCTAACACCTGTGGAAGATAGACTCAAGATTCAGAATGATTTTGAGAGAATTAAGCATTGAGCCCTATTCACTGCCAAAAATGCCAGTGCAGTCCTAGATTATATCAACAGAGGGAGAACTCAAGATTACAAAATAGTAGGTAGTACCACTTTATGCTGCACTGGTACAATTCTGGTCACCACAATACAAAAAAGATGTTGGGACGCTCAAAAGAGTGCAGAGAAGAGCAGCAAAGATTATTAGGGGTATGTAGGCTAGGCTAAATGGTTAAGGGAACTAGGTATGCCTAGCCTGTCGAGAAGAATTAGGGTGACATGATAGGTGTCTTCCAATATTTGAGGAGCTGTCAGAGAGAAGAGGGGATTGACTTATTCTGCAAAAAGCCTGAGGGCAGAATAAGAAGTGATGAGTATAAGCTAGATATCCAACCTGGAACTAAGGAGAAACTTCCTGACAGAACAATTAATAAATGAAACAATTTGCCAAAAAGGCCAACACAGTGCTAGGCTGCATTAACAGAGGGATAGAATCAAGATCACGTAAAATGTTAGTACCACTTTACAGTGCCTTGGTAAGGCCACACTTGGAATACTGCATCCAGTTTTGGTCACCACGATGTAAAAAAGATGTTGAGACTCTAGAAAGAGTACAGAGAAGAGCAACAAAGATGAGTAGGGGACTGGAGGCTAAAACATATAAGGAACGGTTGCTAGAATTGGGTATGTCTAGTTTAACGAAGAGAAGGACAAGGGGGGACATGATAGCAGTATTCCAATATCTCAGGGGCTGCCATAAAGAAGAGGAATTAAGCTATTTTCCAAAGCACCTGAAGGCAGGACAAGAAGCAACGGGTGGAAACTAATCAAGGAGAGACGCAACCTAGAACTAAGGAGAAACTTCCTGACAGTGAGAACAATTAATCAGTGGAACAGCTTGCCTCCAGACGCAGTAAATGCTCCAACACTTGAAGTTTTTAAGAAGAGACTGGACAGCCATTTGTCCGAAATGGTGTAGGGTTTCCTGCCCGAGCAGGGGGTTGGACTAGATGACCTCCAAGGTCCCTTCCAACTTTACTATTATTATTATTATTATTATTATTATTATTATTATTATTATTATTATTATTATTATTATTATCATCATCAGTGGAACAGCCTGCCTCCAGAAGCAGTAAATGCTCCAACACTGGAGGTTTTTAAGAAGAGACTGGACAGCCATTTGCCCGAAATGGTGTAGGGTTTCCTACCTGAGCAGGGGGTTGGACTAGATGACCTCCAAGGTCCCTTCCAACTTTACTACTATTACTATTACTAATTTGTCTTCTGGAGTTGTGGCTGCTCCATTGCTTTTTTAAAAAAATGGACAACCGTTTGTCTGGGATGTTTGAGGAAAACTGCTGGAGGGACCAGAAGAGATAAAACCAGAAATGAGACCATAAGAGAAAGAATTGGCATAGAACCAATCTTAAATTACATGCAAAAATAGCAAACGAGGCTGTTTGCTCACCTGGAGGGGATGTCTTGGGATTCCATACCAAACAAGGCATATACAAAAAGAGAAGGTCAAAGGACACGAGGCAGCCCCCAAAGAAGATGGAGAGACAGCAGCAAAGACACAAAGACAGCAGCATCAGGTAACAAAGGTTGAGGCCGCCAGAAGAGGAAGAGCCAGAACTTTGTTCTCTCTTGACACCTGAAGTGGAAAAAGGAAGAGAAGAAGAGGGAGGAGCAGGTGAAGGGGCAAGGTCTTTTGCCTGGGGCAGGGAATTCCATCCAGGTCCATTTCAGTCCTATGATTCTATGTTTCCCAGTGTAGCTTTTCTTTTCCACTCAGTTCAGATTGCACGTTAGCTAGAGAAGAATGCTGGCAGAGGAGTTTTAGAGATGCAAGTGGATCCTGTCCTTTTGGCAGTTCTAACGTAGCATCTGTTTTCTGCCCAATAGAAAAGGAATTCCGTCCCATTCTCGTGGAAGGTAAAGATTGGAAAGCAACCAGTCCAACCCTTCCTCGGTGTGGGAATCCCCCACTGCAGCATTCTGGTAGGAGGCCCTGCAGCAAACTCTGCTTAAGCCCCTTCAGCCAAGGAGGCAGCTGTTCCATTGATGAACAGCCCATAATTCTGAGAGTTTTTTCCTGATGTCCACCAAAATCAATTTAGTTGCCGCTTAAACCCGTTGTTTCTTGCTTCTACCTTCTGGTGGAGCCTCAAGCAGTTTTCATTTATTTTCTAAATCAGGGGTTCTCAACCTTGGCAACTTTAAGACTTGTGGACTTCAACTCCCAGAATTCCTCAGCCAGCAAAGCTGGCTGAGGAATTCTGGGAGTTGAAGTCCACAAGTCTTAAAGTTGCCAAGGTTGAGAACCCCTGTTCTAAATGATGGCCCCTTGGATACTTCACCACAGCTGTCATGTCTCCCTGTAGAGTTTCTCTTTTCCAATTAAACTTCTTTAAGAACCCCAATTACTCATAAGCTTTTCATTGCCGTCATAGTCTCCTCTGGACACTCCCCCTTCTGTCAATGTCCACCTTAACATTCTCTGAGCTGGGTGCAGCTCTCAGAGAAGACCCCTTGATCTTGAGGCTTGGCTTGTCCTCTGTTAATGTGGCCTATGATTGCATTGGCTTTGGGCTCAGGATGTCATCCACGGAGATATCCAGGTCCTTTGCCCATACAGTGATCCAGAATGGTTCTCCATCTCTGGGCCTTTTGATTTCTCCCACCCAAACATAGGACATCTCCTGTTGGCTTCTGCCACTTATTCCAGCTTGTCAAGTTCTTGAAGAGCACTATTGTCCTAGCATATTTGGTGAACTCTCATCGAAGTGATTGATGAGCCTGCGGAGCACACGGGCCCTGGAGAGAGCTCCTCCTGCCATCACTCCCACTGGGAGCAGCCTTTCTGGGGCTTTTCTGGGATGGGATGATGCAGCCATATCATGGCAGCCCGGCTCAGTTCACATCTCTTGAGTTATTTTTCAGTTTTTGACCAGAGGTGTGCATCAAAGGGAAAATGTATTTTGTTTTGAAATCACTCTGGATTAGCAGAGGTAGAATGAGTGATTGCTAAAATCAGGGAAAGAACTCATCTTCAGAAGTGGGGGGGGCTCCATCGCTGGAGGGCTTTAAGAAGAGACTGGGCAACCATTTGCCCGGCATGGTATAAGGTCTGTTCTGACGGGGGTTTGGACTAGGAGCCCTCCACGGTCCCTCCCAGCCCTGTTATTCCGTTATTCTTCTGTGTTTTGGCAAAAACAAAACCTACAGGGACTTTGGCGTGATTTTTACTGGGTGAAAAGGACAGTTGATGCAGATATTTACAGGTAGGGTTCTGATAGTGTTGCACTAATGCTTGTCCTGTGGGCAAAAAAACAAGATAGACACTAAAGAGTGGTATTCAAGAGGGAGGTGTCTTGCTTGCTTCCCCAGCCAGTCTGGCTAGGTTGGAGGAAGCACAGCCTTGGTTTGTGGTTTATCTGGAAGGGCAGCCTCCTTTATGGGGCCCTGTGGTGTGAGTGCACCAAGCGAAATACCAAATTGTGTGGAAGAAAGATGCCTGTCAAAAGGCCAAGTCAGCTTTATCTGCTAGTTCCTAGTCACAGAGGAGGCCTTTCCCGTCTCCCATTTTTCAGGAGGGAAATTTGGGCAGACCTGGATTTGCTTCACCTTCCAGCCAGAGCTCTGACAAAAGAGCAAAGTGTTTCAGCAGCCCCCTTTCAGCATCACATTATCATCTGAGTCCATTTTGATTCTTTCTGCAAAGAGCTTGGTATAAAAATGCATCTCTCTCTCTCTCTTATTCTAGGGGAAATGCTTAAAAACTCTGAAGGGGCATAGCAACTATGTCTTCTGCTGCAATTTCAACCCTCAGTCAAACCTCATCGTCTCAGGATCGGTAAGCATCTGGCTGGGCAAGACCTCATTTTAGGCAGAAATGCACGGTGACTCTCAGGATCTGCGGCCAGGTGGGCTTCCTTAGCAATCCAGAGCTGCAGCTCTGCCTTCAGAGGTCCCAAAGCGTAGCCCTCCCCGCCCCAGGCCCCTGGATTCTTCTGGGTGGAAGGGTTTCCAGCCTCAGGTGGGCCTTCTGATGCAGGATGAAGGTCTCCTATGAGTTCTGGGGTCATAGGGGATAAAACCTTATTAATTAAATGTAATGTATATGACAAATAGAGTGGGAGATACAAGATACCAGGTTTTACAGCAAAATAACCCTTTTAAAATACTCCATTACCTTCTATCTTATTCCAGTAGAATTTTGATTCGTCCTTTTCTATTTTCCTGAATATTCTAGCTCAAATATTCATTAGTTATAGCCTCACCCCTCCCATTTAGCCGGCAGCCGTTTCGTGCAAAGAAATTAAGCATTTCCACGTGAGCGTCTTCCTCCATGGGGGGAATTTGGCATTTTCAGTTAGTGCCCCCTCCCTAAATGGATGCTACTGGAAGGAAACCCGGGGGTGACCTGCCCTGGGAAGCACTTGGGGGGAAGGGCAGGTCAGTCTCCTGGGCCAGGGGGCGAGTCTGTGTGAAATGGAGGCGCTCTGGGCACCCCGAGTCAGAAGCAGCTGCTTTTTGCTCTTTCTGGGGCCGGGGGAGACAGGCCTCCCCCAGAGCTCTGCCTCAGAGCAGGATGTGCCGAAGCGGAAGCCCTTCCGTGTTTGGGGATCTGCACAACGCAGTTTCTGACCGTCTCCTCTGCTTCGTTTCCAGTTTGACGAAAGCGTCAGGATCTGGGACGTCAAAACGGGGAAGTGCCTGAAGACACTGCCAGCTCACTCGGACCCCGTTTCTGCCGTATGTTCTCTTTGGAGGAAGGGGGTGAACATTTCCTGGGGAGCCTTGGCCGAGAAGAAGGGGGGGGGCTTCCTCCCTCTCTGGGGCAGAAGGGGGAGGGCCCCAGAGCTGGCTCCCTCGCTTCCCTCTGCCCTCCAACAGCAGGGTCTCTCCTTGCCTTCAGGTGCATTTTAACCGGGATGGCTCCCTGATCGTGTCTAGCAGCTACGATGGCCTGTGGTGAGTAGAGAGCCAGGGAAGGCCTGCAGCCTGCAGCGCTGGGCAAAGCAGGTCCTGGGCAGAGCACAAGCCATTCTTCCATTGGGACAGGGCATAGCGGGCCTGGCCTAGGGGTGGGGGGGGGCACACGTTTCTTGAATTAACACGGTGACTCCACCCTTGATTTTAAGAAGGGGTGGCCTTTCTTGCCGTGTGGCGAAAGTCGTTGAAGGCACACAGGCCCGCTTCCCACCTTCAGCCTTCAATTGCGGGCAAAGGAACCCCGTCCTTGAGCCCAGAGAGATCGGACTTCTCCCGCCTGCCACCTGCTACTGCAGAGGTGGATCTCCCTCCCATATATCCTTTAGAATTTAGTTGGGGTCAAGCAACCCTGGCCTCATTTCCGGCTCTGTTTGGCTCTTTGCCCAGACACCAGTGCCCTGGAGATGGTCTGGAGCAGTGTTTCTCAACCTTGACCATTTTAAGGCATGTGGACTTCAACTCCCAGAATCCCACAGCCAGCAATGCTGGCTGTGGAATTCTGGGAGTTGAAGTCCACATGCCTTAAAATGGTCAAGGTTGAGAAACACTGGTCTGGAGAATTGGGGGGGGGGCGAGTCCTTTCGAAGGAGGACTGTCCGTTGTTCTTTTGCGTTGCCTTCCTTTCCCCCATGGGCTGCATGAAGCTGCCTTTTCTGTGCTATGCAGTGAGCCTTGGAAGGACAGCCCTGGGGCCCTGTGGGAAAGGACAGCTTGCTGGGAGGAGCTTTGGGGCCTGCAGTTCAGGTCTTGGCTTGGCCCAAGAGTTCCTTTCCCGAGGCTCAAGCCGTCTATTTGTGCATTCAAAGGCTTTCCCGTCCTTCCTTACCCAACCTGGGCCGGTTTGCTCTTTTGGATAACGGGAACCTGAAGACCTCCAGCCTCCACCGAGCCCCAGATGCATGAAGGCCCCCTCGGCGTCTCCCGCTTGGCCCTCCCCTTCCCACTCTGGGCGGTTCCCCTGGTGGAAAGCAAAACCTTGGCCGTTCTGAAGAGCATTTATTTATTTATTTATTTATGAGACTTATCTACCGCTTTAAGTGCAAGCACTCTCTAAGCGGCGTACACCAGTAAGCAATGTGTATATATATATATATTTACATTGCCCCCAACCATCTGGGTCCTCATTTGACCTACCCCGGAAGGATGGAAGGCTGAGTCAACCTTGAGCCGGTGAGATTTGAACCGTTGACCTGCTGAACACAAGTCAGCTAAAGTGGCCTGCAGTACTGCACCCTAACAGCTGCGCCACCTCGGCTCAGTCAGGCAGGACGAAGGGGGCTTAGGGCGGAGCGGTGGCTGCCCCCACCCCCCAGGATGGGGCCTATTCTTGGCCTGACCCTCTTTTGCCAGCATCTCCCACCACACCAAGGCTCCTCTTCTCTCCCGAATTGGCAGAGCCCCCCCATTCCTTTCTGAGAGCCCGTTGGGAGGGGACCATAAAAAGAAAGCACAGCAGGGTTCCTTTGTTGTGGAGAAAGCTTTAATTTGAAAAGGTCTCTTCACCCTGACGCTGAAGAGAAAACAGTGGTGCAGGGGGAATTTTTGTTATATCCAAAAGGCCTGCACAGAATTAGTAAGAACGTGGAAAAAGAACCAACCCAAACTTGCTCCATTAAAGCCAATGGGACTGGCAGGGTGAGTCGTCCTGCTCCTTGGAGCACCCCAGAAAGCCAGGGAAGCTAGCAGCAGCCGTGCCTCCTGGCCTGAGAATAGAGAGCTGGGCGGGGGGATAGCAATAGCAACAGCACTTGGACTTATATGCCACTTCACAGTGCTTTACAGGCCTCTCTAAGCAGTATATAAGAGTCAGCCTGTGGCCCCCAACCATCTGGGTCCTCCTTTTACCCACCTCGGAAGGATGGAAGGCTGAGTCAACCTTGAGCTGATCAGGATCGAACTGCCAAACTGCTGGCAGCCGGCAGTCAGCAGAAGGAGCCTGCAGTGCTGCCCTCTGACCCCTGCGCCACCCCGGCTCTTGTGAATGACAGCTTTGTGGGTGGGAGTCGGGCCCTGCAGAAGAGCACCTGGCCGCCTTCCTCTGCACTCCTGGGCTGCGCGCTCCTGCGTTCGATGGGTTTCCTCATGAGCGCCTGATCATCTGGTGGAAGGAAGAGGCAACTGGGGGAGACAGGCAGGGCCCATTCCCGAAGTACGGGGGGGGGGGCAGAAACATTTTAGAATTTTGAGAAAGGGGGCCGTGTTCAGAAGGGGCTCAGGCAGAATGATGGGGAGGAGGCCCATCCGACAGACTGCCCAGGTTCTCTCCTTAGAGCCAGCGCCAATGAAAGCAGGGTTGGCCTTCCCGTGGACTGGATCTCCTGGTCTGGTCTACCGCAGAGGGCTGATGTCTGTTGAGGGAAATGAAGACGGAGGGAAGAGGTGAAACTGCCATTGTTTGATGACAAAGGATGTCGTGTCCGTTGTCCCCCTCTTCCAAATCCTGGGCTGGAATCTTGAAAAATCAGAATCTCAGCACCCCTGAAAATCAGCCATGATGGGCTCGATGCCTCCTCCCCCTCCTCCCCCTCCCCCTCCTCCTCCTCCTCCTCCTCCTCCATGGCTTAGTGATAGGAGTGGGAAGAGTGGTGCTCAGGCCACACGGAAGCCTGGAATGTTTTACTGGCTCCTGGTTTCCTCTTGAGAAAAACCCAAAAGAGTCTTAAGGGGGCACCGCATGTACCCGGCCCCCTCCCCTCCCTTCCTGAGCATCAGCCTCAGCCTGCCTGAGCCCCCCCCTCCCTCCCTCCCTGGCCACCTTGCCTCCCTTGGAGCTCAGCCCCTCCCTTCCCCATTCCCTGCTTAGCTACCTTCTGGCCTCCCTTGCACGTGGGAACGTTCCTGGTTTCCATTTCAGAATAAAAGTGTTTCCGGAGGGAAATTCTGAACGCTTACTCTTTTAAAGAAGACCTTCGCTCTAAAATGTGCCCGTGCCTAGAAACCGTTGGTGGTCTTTTTGGTCTGCGTTTCCTGTCAAACCAAACGAAACAAGGCTACCAGACTTCAGGGTCTATTCCATTGCCATTCGGAGTGCCCGAATGGCTGTGTGCTCTCTCTCTCTCTCTCTCTCTCTCTCTCTCTCTCTCTCTCTCTCTCTCTCTCTCTCTCTCTCTCTCTCTGTGTGTGATCCATCCATCTTGTCATCTCTCCCCCCCCCCCCCCAGCTTTTCTGCATGACTAATGTGTCTCCCTTGGCATTGCAGCCGGATCTGGGACACGGCTTCTGGCCAGTGCTTGAAAACGTTGATTGGTGAGTTGGCTTCTCTCCCACCGGAATTGGCTCAGGCAAATCCCCATTTCACCGGGCGGGTACTGAAAACAGGGCTTTCTTTCATTCTCTCTTTCAGATGACGACAATCCCCCCGTGTCATTTGTGAAATTCTCTCCAAATGGCAAATACATTCTAGCAGCAACTCTGGATAAGTAAGAGCCAAAGAATTCCATTCCAAAGAAAAAGGCAGCAGGGAGGAGGGTACGGCTGCCCAAGTGATGTGGGGAAGATCCCAATGGTCTTCTAGCCCTGGATTGCTCCGGGCCAGCCTGGGCCTTGATTTCCTAGGCTGGGTGTAAAAACCTGGGGAGTCGGGTTGCCCCCAAAACCTCCAAAGGGTTTTGCCAAATTGTAATTGTAAAAGTGTCAGAAAGGGAACTATGGTATTTTAAGTGCATGACATGACTGGAGAATGACATTTTAAAAAATAGCTTCAGCTTTTTTCTTGGCGCTGCCGGGTCCTCCTTGAGGAGCAGCCCCTGGCCCAAACTGCCCCGCAGGTCGTAGAGGCCTCCGTCTGCACTTGTCTCCTCCCCTCAGGCAATTTGGTGAGCACTCCCAACTTCACTTCTCTCTTATTTTTCCAACAGCTCTTTATTTAGTTTCCATATTTGGGAGTAGCAGCCTAGGAGCCTCCAAAGTATGAAGGGATTAGGTGAAGAATAAATTCCCAAAAATAAATATTGGGGTGTGGTTTTAAAACTCTTTTTCAAGAAGGGGAAAAACAGGTGGTGTGAACAAACAGGTAGATACAGGAAAAAAATTGAGAGAGCTGGAGGTCAGCCGGGGGGGGGGCGGTTGTGGTGGGTTATTCTGTGGGCCTTTCTAACCAGAGTGTTTCCTTCTCTCCAGCACTCTCAAGCTTTGGGACTACAGCAAAGGGAAGGTGAGTTCCTGTGTTTAACTCAGAAGATGATAAACCCCGGGAAGGCCCTTGTCTGTCTTCAGACTGAGAAAGCACACCGACCGCTGACTTCGTCCCTTGCTGTCCTCCCACGGTAGAAACTTAATTCAACAATAATGTGAAATTAATGCAGCTGTCCAAGTCCAGTTTTTGAATATTCCCAGACTACTAAAATTTGGGAGACTGAAGGGTTGAGGAGGAGGGGGACATTATAAGACTCACCTCTTTGTCCAGAGGTGAGTCTTGGGTGAAAGTCTGTGGCTTTTCAGGTGAGGGAGGATTCTGTGGCGTTCTTTTTTTCCAGTGCCTCAAGACCTACACGGGCCACAAGAATGAGAAGTATTGCATCTTTGCCAACTTTTCTGTTACTGGCGGAAAGGTGAGGGTCTCTTTTCCGAGTTGCCCAGGAGGACCCCGTGTTTTCTTCATCCGTGCAAATGCCCTCTGAGCAACAGTGCAGAGCAGCATTCGAATTCAGGGGCAGGGCCTGGGTGAGGGAACAAGGTCGAGTAAGTGGCTCCACTCCAGGGAACAGGATCTGAGGGGTGGCACCAGGTCTGACATAAGGGAACTGGCCACATAAAGTGGCAGCTACGGAGCGCCTGGGGTTGTGGTGGACTTTGAGGCTGCTGCCCTCTTTGTGATGTGCATCATCCAAGATGAGAATTATTTATTTTATTTATTTATGAGACTTATATACCGCTTTAAGTGCAAGCACTCTCTAAGCGGTGTACACCAGTAAGCAATGTGTGTGTGTGTGTGTGTGTGTGTGTGTGTGTGTGTATGTGTGTGTGTGTGTGTGTATATATATATATATATATATATATATATATATATATATATATATATATATATATATATATATATATATATATATTTTTTACATTGCCCCCAACAATCTGGGTCCTCATTTTACCCACCCCGGAAGGATGGAAGACTGAGGTCTTGCTATTTTAGAAAACCAGCTCTGAAGCCAGATTTCTGACGGGGTGACTGACGGGTGGCTGGTAGATCGGGTGAAGGAGGAGGGGGGAGGAGAGTGAGAAGTGGCCCCTCCAATGGGATCTGCGGTTGATCACCGGGACCCACCCGGGCTCTCCCCTCCTGTTCTGAATGCCTCTCTTTCCTTTAGTGGATCGTGTCAGGTTCGGAGGACAACCTAGTTTACATCTGGAACCTCCAAACAAAAGAGATTGTACAGAAGCTGCAAGGGCACACAGGTAGGAGCGCCTGGGCTCATTGTGGTGCACAAGGCCCCCTCGGGGGCTCTCGGGCCTTGGCCTCAAACAGCTGCGGCTTTGGGGGACAGGTGTTCCCGGCTTTATGCCAAGCACGTATTTAAGGAGCTTCTTCTGGACCTGCTGCTGTAGCCTAGAACTTTGGGGCCCCAATCCTGCATTCCGGCTGCTCCCACTATTTGCCCCCAGGATCCCCTCCCTCCTGCTTGAGGGGTGCCCCAGGAGGAATCCGCCTTCCATCCTAGAGGGAAGGGTGCAGGGCCTTCATGGGCTTGGTTCCCATGGCTGGGGTTAGGGCTGCAAGCAGTCAAGGGGGTCTCCTTGACCCTTGGGCTGGGTGGGAATATTGAGGACTCCTTGAAGTAGTTGTGCCTCCCCCCAGACCCAGGACTGTTGGCATATGATCAAAGTTAGTGTTACTGGTAATAAAAAATGAGATGGTGCCACACACTTTTGTTGACTAGGAACGTAAGAACACAGTGCCCCTAGCCGCAAAAGTAACACACAGTTGGAACTACTGGTCTTATCCAGTCCCGCTCCTTGGTGGCTGTCCACCGCCCACCCACCCCTGGCCAGGGGGAGGATGAGAAGAAGCACCTTCAGGACAGAAGGAAAGCTTTCCTCCCCCTGCAAAGCTGCCTCTTGGTGTCCACGTGACGTGGTTCTTTGCCCCCGGGGAGTCTGGCCATAACAGGGAGGCTAATGCCAGCCAAAGGGGTGAGGCCAGGCCTGGGATTCTCCTAGCCCAAGGAGGGACCCAGCCCTTCAATGGGTATTGGCCTCTCCTCAAGGCTCCTTGAGTTGGCACCCCTGAGTGGGCTTATTCTTGGGGGGAGCCAGGCAGGTGTTGGCTGCTAACGGGCATCTCGGTCCCTCTTTCCCAACAGACGTCGTGATCTCCACGGCTTGCCATCCGACGGAAAACATCATTGCCTCTGCAGCCCTAGAGAACGACAAAACGATTAAACTTTGGAAGAGTGACTGTTAAGTGCTTTTGGCACCGGCATCATGTAGAGACCGTTGGGGTGGTGTCCATAAAATTGGAGGGTATTTTGTGTTTGTGTTTTTTAAAAAAGGAGAAAAAAAAAACCCCACATTTCAGCCGCGTTAGCAGGAAATCTGGAGTGATGTTGCAGCCTCGGCTGATGGAGAATGGAAGGCCCGGCCCTTGTGTTGAGACCCCCTTGGCTTCCTCAGAGAAGGCTATCGTCCCTGCTTGGAGTGGGGGTGTTTGGTTGCCCCCCCCCCAGCTAGAAAGAAGGTGAATCTTTTTAAAGTCCAGCTAAGGCAGAGGAGCTCCGTGCTTAACAATACGCCTCATCAGTGAAGACAAGATAAATGCGACCAAATAAATGTGTCCCTTGTTGCCCCCCCCCCCCGGTTCCAGAGCCTCCCCTCCTGTTTGCTCTGGTAGAGGCTATTGTGGAAAATCTTCCAGGCTTTTTCCCTCTTAGCCTCCCCTCCCCCCTCCCCCCCCCAAAAAAAGAACCAGCTCTTGTGACCCTTTTTTGTTTTTATTTTTTAAAACCATTTGGCAAATTTCACAATATGTGTACAGTTACTTAAGTGTAAAAAATTTTTTTTTACCTGGAAAATTTCTCTGTATGAACTTGTATTGCTAATAGTATGACTGTATCTTTTCCGGTGTCGACACTTCATCCTTTTCCTTTCTCTACGGTACTCTCGGTGTCCTACGCCTCCCGGACGGGGACCCCACGGCAGAATAAAAAGTGGGATTTAATGTGGTTGACAGCAGGATCGCTGCCTGGCGTGAGTGCTTTCAGGGTGGCATCCAACAAGCTTTGCCTGGATGCCAGTCACCTGGTTTGGGTGAACAAGGCAGCCACGGAGCCTGCGTAGGGAGGGTGAGGGCCCGGTCTCAGCTCTCCCCCCCTCCCCCCCACAGATTCCAGAAACCCCCTCCCTCTGGGAATGTTGGCCAAGAAGCAGCAAAGGCTGCAAGGCGGGTGGTGAGTCAAAGCAGCTGCCATGCTTAGAGCACCAGTGGCCTGCCCCCGTTTGGGCTGCCCTCCTCAGGCCCGGGGGGGGTGTGTGGTATGGGGTGGTCATCCCGGTGCTGGAGCAGGGGCTTTGTTTTCCCTTTTCCTCCCATGGGAAAAGCAGCAATGTTTGCAGCTTTTTTAACACAAAAGACGAGAGCAGGCTGCCCCTTCGCTTGCCATCGGGGCCCTTCGACCAGGCTGAGGCTCCAAACCGGCAGGAGCACAGCTAGGAAGGCGAAGCAAGCTAGGAAGGCGATGCAAAGCCACCCGCCAGCTCTTCCTTCTCCCTTTACTTAACACACTGCCTATCTTGCTAAGCAAAGCCGCTGGCTGTTTTTGTGGGTCCTTTTAAAGGGACTCCAGAGCTGTTTTCCTGATTCTCTGATTAGGAAATGAAAATATGGGGAAAGAGTGGAACGGGAGCCCCCAGCTGCCATGGATTTACAGAGGCCCACAGTAGGTTGGCAGCCTTGCTTCTGGTAAGGCTGCTCTGGCATCGCTTGGTAGTCTCCCATCCAGGCCCTGGCAGGCTCCGACCCTGCTCAGCTTTCCAGAGGTCGGGGGGGGGGGGGGGGCGCGTGGGCGTGGCTGATTTCAGAAAGGGAACCAAATGCAAATCCAAAAAGCCGGTATTGCTATACGCCAAGCTACGTCGGAGTAGGAGGGAGTCTTGCAGCTGCCTGCTGCGGCACGGGGCCCTCCGTTGCGGGGGGGGGGGGGGAGGTGTGTGAGGCCGGCGGTGCGGGCCTCTGCCCCAAAAGTGGTTAGATGCCACGACGTAAGTGGCAGCGCCTTAACCATATGCGTGTTGCACAGACCGCAAGGGCCTCTTCCATCCTTATCAAGGGGAGTGCTAACCTTCTCTCCTTTCATACAACACACTTCGAGAAGCCACGCTATGGCTATTTAAACCTCAGAGAAAGCTAAGCCTCCAAGTTACGGTTAGCAAAATGGGATGCAGGCAAAGCAATTCGGCTTTTAGATACTTTCTAATACTATGTGGTTAATCTAGAGCATACCTTCGGTGCAACGTAGCTAATAAATCTGAGGCAATTGGATTCTGTTCTCGTCAGTGACCACTTTCCCATGAAGCCCGTGATAATATATGCACGAGTTTATCCAATCGCAACGCAAAGCGCCTCTTCGCTTTGCCTCTTTTGCAAAACGAGCCAGATGTTGATGGACTCCCCTTCGGGGAGGACGCCTTGCGAGAAGAGAAGTCACCGCCGAGACAAAGGACCCCGGGGGCGTCGGCTTCGCCTACCCTTCTCCAAGATGGCGGCCGAGGAAAATTTAGGGCGCCGGGAACCCCGAGTTCGAATCCCCGCAGCTCTATTTCCTCGCCTCCCCTCCGGGCGGCAGCAGAGAGCGCCGGCGGCCGCTCCCCCCTCCCCGTCCCAAGAGCGGCGACGGGGCGTCCGCTTCGACCGGCGGCCCGTGCCCGCGGGGCCGCTTCGGAAAGGGGCGCCGGCTGGGGGTCCGCGCGAGGGCGAGTCGGGGGGCCCCGGCCTGAATCCAAGCCGACGTGGCTCCTAGAGGCGGCGCGGGGTCGCTGGCTGTCCCGGGGAGGACGCCAGGCGGCCGGGGGCGAAGGCTGCTCCGCTGGGCCCCCGGCCAGAGACCCGGGCCCGGGGAGCTCTCGGACTGGCACCGCCCCGCTGGAGGGGCCCGGCTGCTCCCGCCCACGCCCGGACCAGAGAGGCGGCCGGCGGCCGATCAAAGCGCCTCCCCGTCTTCGAGCCTCAAGGAAGACCGCAGGACCGTCGAGGCCGCTTTGTGCCCCGAGACCTCCTGGCCGCAGCGGGACTCGACTCCCCCGCCCGCCCCGCTGCTTCCCTCCCCCGGAGCCCGCGGCTGCTCCCGGCGCCCCCCCGGAGGAAGGTCGAATTCGGAAAGCAGTTGGGACGCCGCTTTCCTCCCGGCGCGGCTCCTTCGCCGGCGTGGCTGAGCCGCCCCGACTTTCCTCAGCTCTGACCGTCCGGCTGCGCCCCCCCCCCCTCTCGGCCACCCGCGCTCTCGGCCCGCCGCCGGGTCGGGCTGAAAAGCCGCCTTCCCTCTCCGGGCGCCAACGCGACGGTTTGGGGCTTTCTCCTGCTGGTTAGCCGCCAGCCGGGAGCTCCGGAGAGCGCGAGCGGCCTCGTCTAAGCCAGGGGTTCTCAACCTTGGCCACTTTAAGACTTGTGGACTTCAACTCCCAGAATTCCTCAGCCAGCTTTGCTGGCTGAGGAATTCTGGGAGTTGAAGTCCACAAGTCTTAAAGTGGCCAAGGTTGAGAACCCCTGGCCTAAGCCAACCCGAGGGTCTTGAAGGGGAGTTAGAGCCAAACCTCGGCTAAAGAGAATTCCTTTCCCGTTCGCCGGGAATGATCGCGGGAAGGAGGCCAGGGGCAGCAAGTGCTGGGGGGGGGGGAAGGGGCGCCACCCGGCATAGCCAGCCGGCCTCTGCTCGGAAGGCGCAGGCGGACCTCTCGTGGCGCCCGGTAGAAGGGAGGGGGGAGCTGCTAATTCCCTGCCCCCCCTTGGAAAGATCCAGCAGACCCCCCCCCCTTCCCCAAGCGGGCGTCCGGGCATCTGGAACGGGGGGGGGGGGACTCTTGTCCCCGGCCGGCGTGACAGACAGCGGCGCCTCGCGTGGGAAGCCGGCCCGGGCGCTCTTGGCGTGGTCCGACGGCCGTGCTTCGCTGCTGGTCGGATCCCCCTTGTTGACTCTAGTAAGCGCTCGGGGGGGGGGGTCGGTCCCTTCGATCAAGTCAGGCTGGAGAAGTCGGTGGGCTCCGCGGCCCGGCCGGTCCTCGCCACCTTCGGAGGCGGCTCTGAAGAATCCCCTGGTCCCGAGTGACTTAAGCCGAGGCTCCCTCCGACCCCGCAGAGGCGGCTCCCTGTCCGGGCTCAGCTGCTCTTTCCCGGGCTGCCCCTCCGCCGCCCGCTCCAAGCTCTTCCCTCCCTTGACCAGGGGGATCTTTGCGATAAGATCACCTTTATTGTCATTTTTTTTTTTTACGGTGGGCACAATGGCACACATCAAAAATGAAATTTAGTTGCCCGCTCTCAAAGTGAACCATACATAACATCCATACTATGAACAACGTGTGTTCAGACCCACATCCCTACATAGACGTAGCAAATAAATAGTAAATACTGTCCGTCTTGAATATATAGCAGAAGGAGGAAGCTTGAGAGTTCACAAGGTTCATGCTGTTGTTGTTGTTGTTAATTGCGAAGTCGTGTCCAACCCGTCGCGACCCCATGGAGGTTCATGCTGTATGGGATGAAATTATGGCTGAATCTGGATGTTCTGCTACGGGTACCACGAAACCTCCAGATCAGTGGTTCTCAACCTGTGGATTGGGACCCCATTTGGGGTCGAATGACCATTTCACGGGGGTCGCCAAACAACGCAGTCCACCATTTTTTTCTCCCTTTTTCTTAGCTGTGCTACTCCCTTTTATTCTATTGGCTTTTGAAAGCCAATAGAATAGACTCTCTTGAATAGAGTCTCATTCTATTGGCTTTCCAAAGCCAATAGGAATTGTCCAGGCTGTCTCTGCCCTGCTGAGCTCGCCAAAAGTCCCAATCTGCAAACGGTGCTGCCCCAGTTGAGTAGTCCTCGACTTACGACCGGTTGAGTAGTCCTTGACTTATGACCGGTTGGGGGTCGCGGCATTAAAAAGGTTGAGAACCACTGCTCCAGATGGAAAGCGGTGCCCGTCTTCGCTTCTTCCAGGGCTCTGGGCAAGCGGACAGGAGGGACGGCAGAGCTTCCTGGTAATCCGGAGCTGTAGCTGGTGGGGAAAGCAGGTCAGTGGTGCCACTTTGGCCTCTGCAGCTTCAAGAAGGGCACAGCTGCTCCTCCCTGCCCGGATCCACTGCCTGTTTTGCAGTGAGGACGCCCCACAGTAGAACGCAGCACCTTCTGGAAGCAAAACTGTCAGCAGCAGTTACTCCTCTGTGTTTCAGGTGTCAAATTCAAGTCCGTACTCCCAGGAGGAGCTCACTTCTTTCCCTGTTTAGGAGAAAACGTTAAATCCTTCTCACGGCTGGAGGGTTCCAAGCCAGAGAGGTGCTGAGCAGGAGTTGGTCATGAAATCAAAGAGGCAAAGTCCCCATCAAAGTCTCAGAGAGGCTGTCAACACAGCTAACGTGTGGCTCGCAGGTCACTGGAGTGGCTGCCACCCTGAGTTCCCTCCTTGTCCGTCTCTGTCCTTGGCAGCTGGGCTGGGGATCCTTTTGACCAGCAGATGCGCCACCTCCCACCATTGCCAGCAGCAGGAGCTGCCAGGGATCCAGATCCACTGCTGCACAGAGACCTCTACAATGGATCCCCTGCTCGCTCCTCCTCTCCTGGGGAGGGTCCTGCTTTCCTTCCTCCTCTGAGCACAGAGAAGCCAAAGGGCCAGAGCAGGATGGTCCTGCTGCCCGTTGGCCCCGGATCACCTCTTTCACCCATCTTGGTCCCCTGGCAGCCATCAGACGAGGTGGCTTCCCTGGCATTCTTCACTGGGTTTTGTAAGAACTGGCAAGTCCAAATAAAGCATCTGACAAAGTGCTTTCGGGCATGATAACGTTTCTCCCTGGCCTTCATCCCTCTGGCCAGGTCCTTTTTCCCCAGAGGCTCCCAGAGACTTCAGCTCCTCCAGAGTTCCTCAAAGGCCACGGAGTCTCCCCTCCCGATGCCTGCCACTCCAACCTGGGTTTTGTTTCAGGGATCTACACATATTTGTAGATGATAAACTGTCCCTTATTTTGTGTGTGTC